CTGATGCAGAGAAGGCCTGGTCATGGACCGCATCGTCCTTGTGATCCTGGCCCTCCGTTGAAGCAACGCAGGTGGCGATGGTCGCCCCCCCCCCCCCCCCCCCCCCCCCGCAGTCACAGGTGCGCCTGGACGCACCTTGCAGCCCACAGGGAGTTGAAATCGTCGTCGGCGGCCTGACGATCCTGAGCTCCCGAGCCAGGCTCAGGAGCTTCTGGAGCACCAGTGATTCGATGGCCTCCTGGTCCATGCAGGGGTAGGCGGCTCTTGCCAGGGTCAGCAGAGCGCTGCGGAATGCTAGCGCAGACTCGGCCTCCGCTCTTTTCCTGGTATCGAAGCAGTGGCGGGAGTCGGAAGGTGGCCCATAAATCGCCTGCATCTGACGAAGGGCATCTTGCAGCGTGGACCGATCGGCGAGGGCATCGTCGTCTAGCGTAGCCGGGAGGGCGCGGAGCGCCTCAATCTCCGACCAGCCGGACATCTCCATATGGGAGACGAACCGGCGCTGGAAGGCTGCCCAATTGCCTCCCGGTGCGGAAAACGCCTTCAACGCCGGCAGGTGTTGCTGTACGTTGGCGGCGCGTCCTTCGACCGGCGATGAAGAGGTGGCTGCCGCTGGTCCAGGAGCCTCCGTGTCAACCAAGATGTCGCCCGCAGGAAGCGGTCGCAGCGCTGATGACGCGGCGCCACTTGGTTGGACGCCGTTGGCCCCGGAAGTGACTGGCCCCCAGCGGCCACCGCGCGCCCGGCGGAAGTTCCTCCCGCCGTGGCGGGAATTAAATTTTTTTGGCGGTAACCGCGGTTGCGGCATCCGATGGATGCTGTACCATCTCCCCCAATGCCACAGCAGCCTCCGCCTGTTGAATGTTGCCCAGGATGGCAGCCGCGGCTTGGAGCAGCTCGACGAGGCACATCTCCGCGTCCCGCAGCGGGCTCCGTGGCGGCAGGGAAGCGGCGGGCGGCGAAGCGAGCGGCTGCTCAGCCGGCGGCGCGATGCCGTCTTCGGGCGGAGTCGCCGCCCCTGCGCCCGCACGATCGCCACCGTCGCTGTCCGGGCTGCGGGTACGTGTCTTCCGACGTGTCTCCATGTTCACTTCTGACACATGCGATCACCACAGCGAACCACAACAATCCCTTAATTTAAAGGGCTTCATGGCAAAACGACTCCAGAATCACGTCCAATGCACTCATCCCTTAACACATAAATTCACACCATACACACCATCTACTATTCCTGATGAACCAGCCGCCCCTACCACTACTCGGCCCGCCAGCTTCCGCTACTTGCATGCCTGAGTTCGACCTCTACGAATCACCGATGACCTCGATGCGTGAGGTGATTTTTAGCGGTCGAGTGTCTGGTGCATCGTGACTCACCTAGGCTGGGCCTTAGCTGTCGATGAGGCGGTGGACGCAAGGGTTTCACGATGTCCCCACGACGCCTGGCATCCCCGCACGAAGTGTCGACGCTGGCCGCAGCGGAGCAGGCGAGCCTGGGCGCCCGCAGCGAAGGCGCCGAATCGGACTGGGATCGCCACTCCCGGAGCCGTCCCGGTGTCCCACCTCGCCACCCCGGTGTCCCACCTCGCCGCCGGTCCCCTTCACGAACTGCTGCCATCACTTCCCCCATAGACTCCGTTTCTTCCTGCGACGGCTCCATGACACTCTTGGATGGTCAGCCAGCCGATTCATCTCCAAGCCGAGATTTTCCGATCCATGCAGCCTCCCAAGTCCGTCCTCGCAAGGTCTCCCATGCTTGCAGGCACCCCTCGGCTCCGACGGTGGGTCGTATACTGCAGACATCTCCTTGTAGGCATTCTGAAGCATAGCCCTCTTCTCCTCAGGGATGGCCCAGAACACCACGAGACCGTCATCATCAAGAGCCGTAGGTAAAGCTCTCAACGCCTCCTCCGTCCAGCCGACGGACCGGAACGCTGCCCCAAACCGGCGGGTGAAGGCACTCCAGTCCCCTACCGCCGCCGTAATTTCTCTGATCAATGGCAAGCTTCGTGGTTGCTCGGCGGCTCCTCGCCCCACCGCTCGAGATGACACCGCCTCCGCTGCCTCCCGCGAAATGGCGGCCCCCGACCGCGTGGTCTCCCGTGCGGGAACCCCGACTGCAGGCGGCCGTCTAACCATCCCTGCATGACTTCGTGGCTCGTCCCCGGCTGCGTCAGCTCTTGAAGTCGCCACTTTCCTCGTCGCCATCAAGTCAATGACAGTCGAACGGAGCCGATCTGCCTCCGCCACCAGGGATTGTCACTCCTCCGTTGCAGGTGCCGCAATCTCTGCACCCTCGGGCTTCGTCACTGGGCTCCCGGCTCCCGGGTCTGCTGAGGGAACTCCTTGGTTGTCTCCCTTCTCCGTCTCTCTTCTCCGTCTCTGAAGATGCTCCAGGTGGGGTCTTACTATTTCCTTTTTTCGGCATTTTACAATGGCCACTTCTGACAACACTGTAATGTAGCTCTCAGAGACACCATCTTGTCTTCTGTATATTTATTCTGAATAAAGTCCACTGACAACTCAACGAGTAACCACGAGTGACTATATACACTTGGGTAGTTAAACGACTCTATTCTGAGACAACATAGCTTCTAGTCTCAAGACATCTTGAAGACGATGGAGACGACCCATTCCAAGGCGACGACGACGACGATTCCCCACACCAACAGCCCCCCAGATCTGGTTCATGCCGGCCATGCTCCATTCTCGAATTCTCCTCACCGCACCTGGCTCTGTCAATCTTCGCCCTTATTACACTTTCCTGCCATTAGATCCCGTGCTCCCCCTCACGTGACCCTGTCAACGCTTGTCCCATCAATCATCATTAGCACGTCCATTAGTAACCATGGTCCCGGGGAACCATACTGTCCCTCTATAGCTCCGTACTGTCTTTACATTAATATGGCACTAGGCGGTGATGATTGCTATTCATAGGCCCAATTGAGTAATTTGGGGGTGATGACGTAGAATGTGTCCTTTGTTTCTATTGCTTATATCTTGAACTTCTTTTGCACCTTACCTAGTCAACCGTGATAATCGGAGGTGCTTCCTAAAGTCAGTTTACAGTACAGTACTTGCCCCATGTTTGCAGTCGCTTGAGTAGTGAGTCACTGGACCTCGAGTGAGAAGCTATAATTAACCCAGTGTGCCTGCAATAATATTTATTTGTATTTCACAGGCATTGTCAATCTGCAGCCTAGACAATCTTATCTAATAAAGTATTAAAGCTTTCGTGACTGCATAAAATTACTCATTGTTTTTTTCGGTAAAGTCACGTATGTAGAAATACAATAAAATTATATTAAAACAAAAAACAATCACGACGTTTCGATCACAACGCAAGCGATCTTCATCAGGTGTCAAGAACAATTCACGGAGGTAAATACAACAAAAAGATGAGAGACGAGAATTCAACAAACCTGAAAAAACATTATGTGAAGCACATCCAGTCAGGCCAACAACACAGTTAGACACTTCCCTCCCCCTCTCTCTCTCTCTGTCTCCCTGTCCGTCTTTCCTCCCTCCTTACCTCTTGGTGGACTTGTATATGTATTTCTACTGACCGTGTACCTCGTATTTTTCATTCTATCTATGCTGGTATGTGCAATCCAAAGGTTGAACACGAAATTTAACACTTCTGAAATTCGTGGTCCGCCAGGAAGTGTCTGTGTTGTTGGCCTGACTGGATGTGCTTCACATAATGTTTTTTCAGGTTTGTTGAATTCTCGTCTCATATTTTTGCTGTATTTACCTCTGTGATTTGTTCTTGACACCTGATGAAGATCGCTTGCGTTGTGATCGAAACGTCGTGATTATTTTTTATATAATTTTATTGTATTTCTACATACGTGACTTTACCGAAAAAAACAATGAATAATCTTATCTACCCACTGCATAAAAATGGTATTCCAATCACAGCCAAATTTAAAGAAAAAAATGACTATCCTTGACGTAACCTTTGTAAACATGATTAGACCATATTTGTGTTACGGTTTTCCGGCTACTTTAGGCCATTGTGTTCACATTTGATCACAGTCTGAAATTTTCTTCATTTCCACTATTTGCCTAATAGTCAACTTCCTTTTCATGAAAAAATATTGTATATTTAAAATATTAAAGTGTAATTCACCTTCTTGACTTCGCCTTATTCAAGTCTTTTTAACATTTTAAATTAATGTTAAATGTAGTCTAGATTTGTTACATTTTAAATGTGTTTAAAATGTTTAGTGCACTTAAAAAGATTTGGTGTGGCCCAGGCCGCCCTTGCAAAAGAGGCGATGTCGTTTCATGTTGCTCAATCAGGGTGTATTTCATCTCCTGGTTAAATAAAGGAGACTGACCCATGGATAATCAAGCTTCCCCCTCTTTCCTCCTGATGACGATTGCTTGTGTTTTGATCGAAACGTCGTTTTTTGTTTATTTTATATTTATTATTTGTATTAATTTGTACCTATCTACGTGACTTTACTGAAAGACCGAAAGAATATAAATTCCTGCAGTCACGAAAGCTTTAAGTCAAGATTTAAGAGTTGACTAATTATTACACAAGTAAAAACACTCCTCCCCTACACTGCAGTGAGTGGTTTATGTCATCACGCACTGCTGCGGATGTCAGGCATGGAGTCAGCTACACTCGGGCTGTTATATTTTAGGTACAGTAGTATATGCTTGTCTGTACAATAGGCACCCGAGAACTGTTTTATCTTTATATAACTTAATTTGTAATTTTAGTATGATTAGTCTAAAACATTCTACCTGAGCCAACTTAGGCTACAGAGAGTTTATTACCATTGAGTTATGTTTGAGCAATATATTTAATATTTTTCCAGCAACACAGTTTTTTTGTTTTTATGTCTGTTTTATTCATTGTTCGTAATTTAATTATTTGTTTGACCCAGGTCACTCTTGTTATTGAGACTCTCCTGGTCTCCTGAGTTCTCACATGGTTAAACAAATAAAATGTTAAACTGGAAATTAGTTCTCCTGGTAATGTTTTGCAGCGCGTGTGCTCGCTGGTGATGGCCAGTGAAGGTGAACCACCAGACACCATGGCACTGGGGCTGAAGGATCAGGAGTACAGCAAGAAACAAGAATCTTCCCAGTTGGCCGTTCAGTGGATCAACCACTCTCTGTCTGGTTTGCTTATGGGTCAGCAGCCATACAACCAGTCAGAGCTTGACTGCTTGCTGAGGTACATAGAATAATAAAATAATGTCTCACCACGATATCCATTATATAGGTATCCCTCAATTTACGAACATTCGATTTACGATATGTTGCTTGAAGGCAATTGACAAATTATGGACACTTCGATTAATTAAATTTTATATCCGAGTTAACAAAATTTCACACGCCATGAGATCAAGCAAGAAGCACCCGATAGGCTGCGTCGTCATCCGCGACAGCGTCATGGTGTCCCTGCAGTGCACCAGTAATGGCTCCGCATCACCTAAACACTCATTCAAACATGCAGTAGATCTTTTGGGGAGTTCCCTGAAAAGGTTAATTGTTTTTGTTTTAAAGTATTTCTTATTCAATCGTTTTAATATTTATGTTATAATTTTTTCATTGTTAAAATTGATATACAGTGAGGGAAAAAGTATTTGATCCCCTGCTGATTTTGTACGTTTGCCCACTGACAAATAAATGATCAGTCTATAATTTTAATGGTAGGTTTATTTGAACATTGAGAGACAGAATAACAACAACAAAATCCAGAAAAACGCATGTCAAAAATGTTATAAATTGATTTGCATTTTAATGAGGGAAATAAGTATTTAACCCCTCTGCAAAACATGACTTAGTACTTGGTGGCAAAACCCTTGTTGGCAATCACAGAGGTCAGACGTTTCTTGTAGTTGGCCACCAGGTTTGCACACGTCTCAGGAGGGATTTTGTCGTACTCCTCTCTGCAGATCTTCTCCAAGTCATTAAGGTTTCGAGGCTGACGTTTGGCAACTCGAACCTTCAGCTCCCTCCACAGATTTTCTATGGGATTAAGGTCTGGAGACTGGCTAGGCCATTCCAGGACCTTAATGTGCTTCTTCTTGAGCCACTCCTTTGTTGCCTTGGCCGTGTGTTTTGGGTCATTGTCATGCTGGAATACCCATCCATGACCCATTTTCAATGCCCTGGCTGAGGAAAGGAGGTTCTCACCCAAAATTTGACGGTACATGGCCCCGTCCATCGTCCCTTTGATGCGGTGAAGTTGTCCTGTCCCCTTAGCAGAAAAACACCCCCAAAGCATAATGTTTCCACCTCCATGTTTGACGGTGGGGATGGTGTTCTTGGGGTCATAGGCAGCATTCCTCCTCCAAACACGGCGAGTTGAGTTGATGCCAAAGAACTCCATTTTGATCTCATCTGCCCACAACACTTTCACCCAATTGTCCTCTGAATCATTCAGATGCTCATTGGCAAACTTCAGATGGGCATGTATGTGCTTTCTTGAGCAGCGGGACCTTGCGGGTGCTGCAGGATTTCAGTCCTTCACGGCGTAGTGTGTTACCAATTGTTTTCTTGGTGACTATGGTCCCAGCTGCCTTGAGATCATTGACAAGATCCTCCCGTGTAGTTCTGGGCTGATTCCTCACCGTTCTCATGATCATTACAACTCCACGAGGTGAGATCTTGCATGGAGCCCCAGGCCGAGGGAGATTGACAGTTCTTTTGTGTTTCTTTCATTTGTGAATAATCGCACCAACTGTTGTCACCTTCTCACCAAGCTGCTTGCTTGTAGCCCATTCCAGCCTTGTGTAGGTCTACAATCTTGTCCCTGACATCCTTGGAGAGCTGTTTGGTCTTGGCCATGGTGGAGAGTTTGGAATCTGATTGATTGATTACTTCTGTGGACAGGTGTCTTTTATACAGGTAACAAGCTGAGATTAGGAGCACTCCCTTTAAGAGTGTGCTCCTAATATCAGCTCGTTACCTGTATAAAAGACACCTGGGAGCCAGAAATCTTTCTGATTGAGAGGGGGTCAAATACTTATTTCCCTCATTAAAATGCAAACATTTTTGACATGCGTTTTTCTGGATTTTGTTGTTGTTATTCTGTCTCTCACTGTTCAAATAAACCTACCATTAAAATTATAGACTGATCATTTCTTTGTCAGTGGGCAAACGTACAAAATCAGCAGGGGATCAAATACTTTTTTCCCCTCACTGTAGGTGTATGTTTTTAGGTTAGGAGTACAGTTGGAATGTATTAAAATAATGCGAAGAGCCGTTCCAATTTACAAACTTTTCTTTTATGCAAGTTTTTTGAAGAACGCAACCTGTTTGTAAATCGAGGGATACCTGTACTGTACTCAAATGTTATCTTTCCATTGGCAGTCTTAAATTACAGATGAATAAAATTATACAAAGCATCTTATCAATAGAAATAATTGACCTTGTCATCATCAACTTTGACGATGGAAAAGTTGATTTTTGGATATAATAAGGCAACCATTGTGCCAACGATGCTTGATGCAGTTTCAAACGAGACGTCGTATCTAATGGCTAAATTTGGTTGTGAGAATTGATATTCAACTTACACGTGTGCAAAGGACAATTCACTTGTTTGGCTGTCGCGTGACAGAGGTAAGAACATCACGTGGCCTAACCCAATAAAACAACTATGAATTGTGATATTGGCTGTGAAAACCTACGTATTAATTTTATATAAGTAACACAATTTGAAATGAAAAGTTTTTCTAGAAGAACCGCGGGCTGATGGACTCATATATCCTACATGGTGCAGGGAGTTCCTAAAGGAGAAACTGTCTGAAGTGCATCAACAACAGGAGCAGGAGGAAGTGACAAGAACAGAGTTCTCGGAGCCCGTGGTGCAACCACTTGCTGTGACAGTGAACAGTGACAAAAAACCCATCAAGGGTACGCGTAGACACACCGGGTCACGTAAACACACCGGGTATGCGTAGACACACCGGGTACGCGTAGACACACCGGGTACGCGTAGACACGCCGGGTACGCGTAGACACACCGGGTACGCGTAGACACACCGGGTACGCGTAGACACACCGGGTACGCGTAGACACACAGGGTACGCGTAGACACACCGGGTACGCGTAGACACACCGGGTACGCGTAGACACACCGGGTATGCGTAGACACACAGGGTACGCGTAGACACACCGGGTATGCGTAGACACACCGGGTACGCGTAGACACACAGGGTACACGTAGACACACCGGATACGCGTAGACACACAGGGTACGCGTAGACACACCGGGTACGCGTAGACACACCGGGTAAGCGTAGACACTCCGGGTAGGCGTAGACACACCGAGTACGCGTAGACACACCGGGTACACGTAGACACACCGGGTTCGCGTAGACACACCGGGTACGCGTAGGCACCCTGGGTACGCGTAGGCACACCGGGTACGCATAGACACACCGGGTACACGTAGGCACACCAGGTACGCGTTGACACATTGAGTATGACATGACACCAGTAGCACATCTGGAATAAATCTTCTATGGTTCTTTCGGTAAAGTCACGTAGAATGAGAATAAAATAATAAAATAAAATAACACGATAAAATTCTCACGACATTTCGGCCACAACACAAGTGGCCTTCTTCAGGTGAAAGGAACAAATCTGTCGGGACGACAGAGCTTCAGTGACTTTACCGAAAGAACCAAAGAAGATGAATCCTTGCAGTCACGAAAGCTTTAAATCGAAATCTGGAATACAATTTAGGAAAAGACGTTTTAAAAAATAATCTCAATGTTTTGATCGAATCTGATATGCTGGATATGAGGCATATTTCGATGTAAGAATTAAGATAACATCACAAATATTTCCTCCTGCAATATCTACACGTTAACGATGAGTACTTGGTGCCTTGTTGCCGATTGCCGCTTGCTTTTCTCCTGCCAAAAGCCTCTCTTTCATGTCCACTCGCCATCCGCAGGCAAGAAGAGCGCTGCTCTGGAAAAGCCACTCTTTCACAAAGAGATGCGAGCCCCACTACTTCCCGGAAGTGTGGCCATCAGTGCGACATCTATGGCCATCGCCAAGGCCGCAGCCCGACTTAAAAGCTGCCCACTTTACAAGCACATTGCTTCCCTCTCCCACACAGAGGTAAGTGAAGACACCTTTAATGTGTATAATTACATTGTATAAGTTTTCGTACTTAACCAAGACATTTTTACTCATTTATGGTGCAATTCATGCAAACTGAAGGTTAAATTTAAGCAATCCAAAGTTGACCTTTTTCTTGCTAAATATATTTGTGTCCATCCCACCGACAAGCAAATATTCCCAATCGTTGAACCCTGCAAATTGGCAATTAAACATCCAGATGAATACAGATGTCATTATTCTCAGGACTAACACATAAGCAACGACTGAAAAGAACGGATTTAAATAACTGAAAAGTAAGCATGCACAATATTAGCAATCAATTAACACAGCATCTGTATATAATTGCATTCCTTCAATATTTTATGGTTGCAATCAGAAGTAAACTGTAATTGTGCTATTGCTGTAACAAAAATTGCAATAAGAGTTATTATGGGAGTAGGAGTTCCTTGCTCTTGTAGCTGTGTGTGAGTGAGGATGCCGTGTGATTATCATTAAACATGTCTCTTTGGGTGCCATTGCAGCCAAATGAAGGGAATATTTGGATAATCTCTCATACATAAGTCTAATAATATCGTCGTGTAAGTTAATTAAATAATGATAACAATATAATTATATATTAACATACAATATAAGTTACATTTAAATATGATATTGTATTATACATGGTGATGGTAGTAATTGTTGGTGTCGCATACTGCACATGCAGTATTAGTGGAGCGTTAACTGGCATAGTATGTGTTATTGTTATGAACACTCATAAATTGTAATCGTGGTATCACAGTGCATGCTTGTGGTTTAGTTATTTTGTCAGGTGGGTATTTATTTATTCAAACTCACATTGGCGAACAATGTGATTTAGGGTCACAAAATATGTTCACGGGTGTTGCACGTAGCCCGCGTCCCCCGGTTTTCGGCAGCTCTCGTTTCACCAGCTGTGGTTTCTGGCAGGGTTGGTGCAACAGCAGGTGCAGGAGAGTCACTGTGCGCGAGCACAACACCTTCTCAACGTGGCTGCTGCTCCTGCTGCTACTGCACATAGCATGTGGCTTTTGGTGACTCAAACCTGGTGGACACAACTGCAGTGATGACATAGGCACATGTTGCGTCTTGTTTAATAGGTACAACAAAAATTGAAAATTCCAGTCACTATGGTAACGGTGCTGTGCTGTGGAAAAGCATCACCAGGAAAGCTAAATCTTCTGAAAGAAGTGATGGTTCTGCCAAGACCAGGACTCACAGCTTCACAGGTACTAACACATTTGTGAAACGGATATCATCTTCATGAGCCCTGCTCTATCCACTTGTAGTGTGGTAAAATACGCGGTGCACACTGTTGGCCGAGGGCAACCGAGGGCAGGCAGGTGCACGTGTGCAACATGAGGTTGCACGAGCAAACCTCCACCTCATTAAGGGGAGAATCGGGTGCAGACGGGGTCGGTCCGGGGTTGCACGCTGACACCGGAGGTGTTGACAGGGAGACGTGCGATAAGGGGTGATTGATGGCTTGACAGGCGCCAGCCTGTCTGACCCTAAAGAGACACAAGGGAGGAGCTGGATAATTGGGAGGAGGATATAAGGAGGCGCGTGAGAGCGGAGCGGGAGTTTGGGTTGCTGGGACCAAGGTGAAGACATCTCGCCGCTGCCGCTCAAGCCAGGGATGGACCTCAACCCTCATGAGTCGACGGGCGGGTGATGGTTGATCCCCCCGCCCGGATCGGACGAGTGAGTGGGTCTGAGGGAACGTAGGCGAGGGCAGCGGCGCAGAGTGAGCGAAGCTGTGTGCAAGCCTCTGTGTGAGCGCTGCTGGGTGCAAGCTCTGTGTGAGCGCTGCTGGGTGCAAGCCTCTGTGTGAGCACTGCTGGGTGCAAACCTCTGTGTGAGTGCTGCTGTGTGCAAGCCTCTGTGTGAGCGAAGCTGTGTGCAAGCCTCTGTGTGAGCGAAGCTGTGTGCAAGCCTCTGTGTGTGCGAAGCTCTGTGCAAGCCTCTGTGTGAGCGCTGCTGTGGGCAAGCCTCTGTGGGAGCGCTGCTGTGTGCAAGCCTCTGTGGGGGCGAAGCTGTGTGCAACCCTCTGTGTGAGCGAAGCTGTGTGCAAGCCTCTGTGAGCGCTCCTGTGTGCGAGCCTCTGTGTGAGCGCTGCTGTGTGCAAGCCTCTGTGTGAGCGCTGCTGTGTGCGAGCCTCTGTGTGAGCGCTGCTGTGTGCGAGCCTCTGTGTGAGCAAAGCTGTGTGCAAGCCTCTGTGTGAGCACTGCTGTGTGCGAGCCTCTGTGAGTGCTGCTGTGTGCAAGCCTCTGTGTGACCGAAGCTGTGTGCGAGCCTCTGTGTGAGCGCTGCTGTGTGCAAGCCTCTGTGTGAGCGCTGCTGTGTGTGAGCCTCTGTGTGAGCGAAGCTGTGTTCAAGCCTCTGTGTGAGCGCTGCTGTGTGCGAGCCTCTGTGTGAGCGCCGCTGTGTGCAAGCCTCTGTGTGAGTGCTGCTGTGTGCAAGCCTCTGTGTGAGCGCTGCTGGGTGCAAGCTCTGTGTGCGGAGCTGTGAGTACGGAGCTGCTGAGAGGAAGAGCTACCGCAGGCAGGTCAGCGAGGTGTAAAGTAGTTAGGGGAAGTTAGTTAACAAAAGTGACCATATAGACAGAGACAGGAGTGCCTACAACTGGTGCAAGAATAGAGTAATAAAGTGTAAGCAGGTGACCTGTAATAACGTGTCCGACTGAGTGATTTTACAAGACACTACACACTAAATTTTGATTTAAAGCTTTCGTGACTGCAGTAATTCATATTCTTAGTTCTTTCGGTAAAGTCACGTTGAAGGGAAACAATAAAATAATAAAATATATCTAAAACAATAAAAATTCTCACGACGTTTCGACCATAACACAAACGGTCGTCATCAGGTGTGTCGGTTGGCATAAATTTATTTATTTTTAAACGGTGTATTTATTTATTTATAAAAAAAAACGTTAGCGCCACGCGCAGTGATTTGGCAGTTTATTTAGAAGGACTAGTCCATCTATGTTCTGAAAAGAGGAGGGGGGAGACGAAAAATGTAATGTATGCTGTCTGAAAGCCACTGTAAGCGTGAACAATCAATTAAGACCTGAAATGGTTTATCAAATCTTTCCAATGATTGCTAAGCCAGAATCCATCTTCTCGGTTGAAATTGTCTCTGTGCTTGTATATGTGGATAGCCTCATGAACGAATCTCTCATGGTAGCCAGATGGCTTACAAAGAACCTCTGTCTTGGAAAAGTCAATGTCATGTGAGCCTACTGAATTATAACAATGATCTGCCATGGCCGAGGTGTTGGTCCTACCGTGTTTAAGGTCTGCTTTGTGTTCACGAATGCGGTCCGAGACATGGCGTTTGGTTTCTCCAATGTAACTACTACCACAGAGGCAACTTAGTTTGTAGACACCAGGGTATTGTATGTCCGGAATCACATCTTTTACAGACGGAACCAGATCACGGATTTTATGTAATGTGTTGTTTTATATATATTATTTTATTGTTTCCCTTCAACGTGACTTTACCGAAAGAACTAAGAATACACTACACACTATTGGATGAAGGCCTCCCCAAGTCCTCCCTGTCTATTATCGTCTCGCCATGTAAACAATCCATTGAGTTCATTGCATATGTCCATCTCCACTGTGAACATCTTCCCGAGAGCTTTCCCCTCTCTTGGCGGCCTCTCCGTCATTAATCTAAACCATCGGCCATCATCCCAATTTTTTAATTAACAGTCAAACCGATGTCTCTAACCTGTGTGTGCTCTCTAAATCACGTGTTTACTCTTTCTGTCTCGCAGTGTAATTCCGAGTTTGCACCTCTCCATTCTCTGCACCGTTTGTCATTGCCATTGTTTACGATTCATTAGTCATAGCTTGATATGCATATAACATGGATTTGTTTCTCTTTAGGGATATTTATATGCTGCCTTGCATTATAAAATTGTGTGCCCTCTTGTTTGTATTTATGTATGTTGAACTTCTTACGCACCGTACGTGGCCAAGCATTCTAATCGGAGGTAAGATGTTGGTATAAAGAGAATACTGCCAATATTCTGTATATATTGGCCTTTCTTAAGACGTCATCAAGCTAAAATATTGACTTGGGTTTGTTTCTTGATGCACAGTGCCCATCCATAACTAAGTTGATGTTTGCCTTGTCAGGGTCTCAACATTATTTCTGAAATCCAGCATCAGATCATGAAACACGCAGAAGTGGTTCCCAAAACAGGGGTAAGTTGAATACTATAAATTCAGTTCTCAATAATGAACAAAAACCAGCCTATTGCGCAATGCAGCTGTGTACTAATTAGTTACTTTCAAGACCTTAGTCTTGCATAGATGAGAGGTAATATTTGGGAAATAAGCCTAAAACATTCTAACTCGAGGGAACTCCAAACTAGAGCTATAATCAAAAGCCGAAGAAAAAACACTCAAAATTAATGTTCCAAACATATCCTGTTCCCTGTTCTGCCGTAGTAACTTCACAAAACTTTGCGTTGTATTTCTATTTGCTCATCTGTATAGTACGATGCAACAAGTATTGTATACAACTAATGTTAAGACATCCTCACTCATGGTCGGTCTGCACATCACTCGTAAGAAATGGTGGTGGATGAACTTGGTTTGTATGTATGGCTTTTGAACTTCTTTCGCACCGTACGTAGCCAACCGTGCTAATCGGAGGTGTGGGGGATTTTGTTCCCTATGAGACGATGCACGTGGTCGGTGCTGTGGGGGCCCCGCTGATTGGATGCGACAAACTGGAGCGGCCTCTGGAGATCATTGAGGAGGTGGCAAGGAGCCTGGGTCTCACGGCAGGCGTCGACTTCCACTTGGCCCTCAACTGTGCCGCTCACGAAGTCATGGACTATGTGAGTGCCACACAGTGCACAGCGCAGTGATCTCAAAGCGTAGCTTGTCTGGATCTTCACCCGCTGATTTCTGCAGGCAAGGATTCATGTTTCACTGACTATTTTCCAGGTCACTGTAGACTTGAGTAGGCATGTGACGAGTAGCCACAACCACAGCAGGAGGTATACTGGATGTGGTGAGTAGATCCAGGTCGACCCAGTTGAATTAGGCCCTGACTACATGGTTTGAATCAGCCCCCGATGTGTTCTGGATACAAACCTTAAAAAATAGTTTTCACTTTAATAATTTAACTTTCTTGGTCTACATTATTGCAAATAGACAAATATTTCTCCCACAGCTCACACATCTGCCTTTTTCTGGCAAAGATGAAATGGCTCCTCTCTCCATGTGGCCAAGATGTTGGTAGATATGAATCAGATAGATTCAGAAAAAATAGGTTCTGCTAAGGAGTACATGTGCAGGAGGGGGTAAGGCTGGTTACTGAAAACAAGCATTGGAGCAGTCTCCATGAGTCCAGTGACCAAGGAGAAGAGTAGACCTAAGGCCAGATGGTGGGAGATTGTCAGGGCAGATCTTGGAGGTCTGCTGCATGCCTACTGTGCAGCATTTGCAGGCTCTAGCGGAGGTTTGAAAGCCCTGGTGTAGTGCGGTGGCATCGACAGCTTTGGCCGTGATGATGTCTTGATCTTGTTTGCACATGGCTGCGTGTGTTTGTCCTGCTACACAGGAGAAGGGCCGCTATGAGGTTGCCAGTGGGTCATTCAAAGCCACAACCGACATGGTGGAGCTGTACGTACAGCTGCTGGGCCAGCACCCAGCTGTCGTAGCGCTCATCGACCCCCTGTGCCCTGAGGTACCGTTTGTGAGCAGTAAGCGGTGTGAACTCAACGCTGTTCTCATACGTTTGTCGTCCTCAGCCGTGACCTATCCACTGGGCGATGATGAAGGCCAACCCACCTTGTCGCCATCCCCCATACTCTTGCGAATACTGTCTCGTTTGCACATGTTGGTATGTGGCTTTTTATTATCAGTTCAAAATTATGCAAGGGTAAAGATGCAAGTGAGAGGAGGGAGCAACACTACAGCATGCTGGCACGAAAATGTCATCCTGAAAGGTGTATTGGTATAGATGCAGAGATCCTCAGTAAGACAGAATATGGGACGATATGAAGGCATGGAGAGATGTTACTAACCAACGAGGCAGTACCTGGACATGGAGGCTGTTGATGATGATGCAGTCAGCTGTTAAATCGCTTTCTCGGTGAATGTGCTTGAGTAATGGTAGGTGTGGTGGTAGCTCTGTGGAAACGTTCATGGTTTGTCTCAAGTAAAAGTCACACATTTACTAATGTAAATTTTTTTAAAGTAATTTTTTTCCCATTCTAAATGTAAACCTTTTTACCAATTTGCCTGTGGGAATCTTTTCCCAGGACCATGAGCAGTGGCGTAGGCTCAGCTCAGCTGTTGGTGAAAAGTGTTTCATTTTCAATGAAAATTTCTGTCGCCTGGCTGAACTGGAAAATTTGGAACACATAACAGGAACACTGAAGGCCACTGGTGTGATTATCAAACACACCAACCAAGTGACCGTTTCTGACTTGCTGCAGGCTTCGAGATACTTGCAAGGTAAGAAGGCATCGTTTTTTGCTCACTTTCTTTATCACTGGTGATTCATGTTAAACTCATCATCAATTGTAACTAATATAGCACCTCGCATCCGCATGGCAGGCGTCAAAGGCCCCGAAAGGGTTTTGACATCGAAACCCACGCAAGGATAACAGAACCATGCGAGGCCTTACAAGGACTGTCTCCACTTTATATTCAGCAGCTAATTCAGTCTTGTGCCCCTTCAAGATCTTTAAGATCTACTTGTGGTGCCCTTCTACGTATACCTCCATCTCTGCTGTGCTCTTGGAGTGATCGGGCACTTACTGTGGTGGCCCCCCAGTTTTGGAACTCCCTCCTGGTGGCCCCCCAGTTGTGGGTCTCCCTAATAGTGGAGATGAGGATCTCCGACAGTGTAAATACTACTAAGTTTCAACTAAAAACTTAATTTTAAAACAACTTTCATCGCATCAGCTTTGGTCCTTTCTGACTCTTATTTTGCCGCAGGGTTCTCTCTTTATTACCTTTGTCCTTTTCATGCACAGCACCTGGAGACTTTGTGAAAGGCACTTAATAAGTGTCAATTATTATTATCTGAGCATGGTACTTGAGCACCGTGTTCTGGGCCCTTTTGGCCTTCATAGGTGTCCACTGCCAACGTTTACTCATGTATCCCACGTAACGATGTCATTTTGTTCTCTGTCTGTGTGTATTAGGCAAAGGGTTGTGTGTTGCTTTTGGTGCGTGTTCTGGAGATACACCAGATGGTAGTTTGGTGGACATGGTAAGATTGTGGAGGAATGTTAACAGAAATAAGGATTCCAAGGACTTAAAATTGGTTCAGTGTTTGTGTGTTTTACATCGGGTTCTTACTACAGAGGGTTTTATCACTACTCCCTGCGTTATGAGAGGTGCATTTCTTAAAAAAATTAACTCTTGTCAATGCTGTTGTCTATCCCACTTATGTAATGCAACGATTTTTTTCCAACATCAGGATTACTCTTTCTGTAGCACTCAACATTGTTTTCCCTTTGAAAATTACTTGGATGCAGAGAATATTCCCTCGCTGTGTGCATTTGTTGGCATTTCCCACTTCTGCCAGCTGATCTTGCAATGAATCACATCTTCAATGCTTTGTTGTCATACTTTTCCACTTGGCCTGAATCCTCCATGACCCTTTCCTGATAGCAATCGTATGTATTGCTTATTACGTGTTTTTTTTAAATCAGGCACAGTGGGATCAGCAGTAAAGTATGTATGTATATTGAACTTCTTTCACACCATATGTAGCCACCCGTGCTAACTGGAGGTGCGGGGCAAAGATTACAAACTAAACACAAAAAGCAGTTCTCAAGAATTTACTTTTCAATCTAGCTTTAAAAGTGCATAGCTCCAGTGGCTTCCTCATATCGGAAGGAAGAGTGTTCCAGACGGCCGCAGAAGCGCATCTGAACGTGCGCAACGCGGTGACCGTCTTTCTTTGATGGCCAGCCAGAAGCTGCTTGACCCACTCTCTCTTAGCTGAGCCTAAGAGAGAGTGGGTCAAGTGGGAGCTGGAGAATGATTACCTGAGTTAGAGGTACCGAGTGACGTTTGATGCGTATCGGCGTTTGTTGTACGAAGGCCCTTGGCATGGGGGCCTCTTTCTTGATCCTTGGAGGTGTTCTCCGTGGCGAGAGGGTGGCGCGCTACAATCACCTGGTGAAGATTGAGTGGGAGCTGCTGAAAGGAGACATGCTTGGTATGTATTTATGAGTGAATGTATGTGTATGTATTTGTGTATGTTGAACTTCTTTTGCACCATACGTAGCCATCCGTGCTAATGGAGGTGCGGGGGGGGCAGCGTGATACATTGTGGGTGGGCAGGAGAATGAGTCTCAATGGTGTGACAGTGGTTTGTGCACTGCATTTTGATTCCCAATTGTTGACTTATAAAACACTGGCATTTGTTATCTGAAATTGGCCTTGGCCTCCACTCAAGCTGAATTTTAACTGGAAAAAATGTTCCGCGACAGTGTTGCTTGATACAGTCTTTAGATGCATAATAACAAGCAGAGATACATTAACTAAACAATATGTCAAATATGTTTTCTAGATGTTCAGTATCTCCAACATGTTCTATATGGGAGATACCTACTTTGACATTTGAGCCAAGTTTTAAAGTTTGAACTCTACTCCAGAATTACTTCACGTCTCTTGATGAGCCATTCATGATATTAAACATATTGATCTCTTTTAAAATCTACCAACGATTTCCAATCTGGTAAAATTTATGCAATTAAACAGAGTAGATTTGTGTTACGTTTTAATGTTCAGACTGAAAATGCTTTACCAAAAATGTATGATATTCTCTTTTCAGAAATGAGTCAACCGTACACCTTTCCAGTAATCGCCGATGAAAGGAATCCTGATGCTTAGTGAGAGAGAAGGAGTTGTAAGGAATGTTCATGTGCTGATAGGTATGGCTTATTCTGGGATTATTGCTCTCAACTATGAAGTACTACTAATATTTTAGATACAAGTAAAATTATAATTTGTTCTGATAAAAATACAATTTAAAACATGGTAACATTCAGATGTAAAAATAAGCTCAGAGTTCTTACCAATGTAACAAATGCTACAAAAATGCGTAGGATGTGTGTGTCGTTGTGGATGTGATGTTTAACAATACACTTTTCTTAAAAAAGTAATTGAGAACTATTAAATAGCTATTGCGTATGCAGTATAGTTTATGTACGAGGAAAACAGTCTTGTTTGTTCACTACAAGACCTTTGTTGAAGACCAGATAAAAGCCTTGAGACCAAAAGTGTATTTTATTTATTTAAAGGATTGGCATAAACATTTTTATCTCAAGGTACAAGGGCTCACTTTCAAGACTTTCAGAGTTATACAATTTGATAGGCTCGGTGGTCATGTTTTTATAAAGACTTTCAAGACAAATTTAGCCCAATGCTTTTTGTTCATTAGTCATTGTAGAGGCGAGAGAGGGACGGCAGAATAGTTCTCAGAGCGACGAGCCAAAACAATCGGGTTTTACACCTTGTCCAGTGCATGGCCCCGGTGTCTCCCACCCATTGCTGTTGTTGAGACGACCAGGCATGGGTGGTGCCCTTCCTTGGCCTGGGCTGAGGCTGCTGCTGCTGCTGCTTTGAGGAGCTGCAGCAAAAGCGTAGGAAGGGGCAACAACGGCGCCAACACGATGCGGGACTCGTGCTGCAAAGACAAAGACCCCCCCGTATAGCTTTAACAGACTGTTGAGGCAAGTGCTGTTAGCGAGTAGCACCTGTGAAGACCGGCACGGTACACGAGGGGGTGGATAGCTAGCACCACGCCCAATCGCCTTTGTCTCCCCAGTGGCGATGTTCTTAGACACCGTGCCATGTACTCATTTGAGGCTGAGTCGACCTAGGGGAGGCTCAGTACCGGTTCAGATAATCATCACTGGTGATGGCCATGAGCAGGAATCAAACTCGGGTGGCCGGGTTCGTAGCGCAGCGCGCCACCGCTACACGACCACTTCCCACCTGCACATACGCATTCTGCCTGGACATACACACACACAACTCTAATGCCTGAATTGGCTTGCCCCTGTGCTCAGCTTCATCTGTACTTTAGTCTTAGTTTGCTCAAATCCCAAACCCTCACAACATGAGACGACCATAACGTTCCTTCGTCCCGTGCTGAGAATTAACAGCGGATTTTTGGACTTCATTATAATGCATCTTGAACTCAGAACAACGTGCCATGACAGTGTGTCTTTGATTTTGTTCTGATTTTTATTGCATTGCTGTGCTGCATTGCACAGTATTTGTCCTTGCTTTTTTTCATTTTGGTGACTCAAGTCACCCTTGCAAATTAGGCTGTCCTGCTCTCTTGAATTTCTACCTGGTATAACAAAATAAACTTAAAATGTGTCCCTTACAATTAGCATCTGTTCCCTCAGTCTTCTCTGATAAACTGGATTATATTAATTAAAATTCAGAGAGCAAATGTTTATTTTTAACATACTTTTTTATAACATGTATTTGTCTCAAATTATTAGCTTATAATTTAAATTTGAAGTTTATATCTATTAATCATTTCGCGATTAATCATTATTTTACACTTATTGTACAATTGTTACTCTTGCATTTGAGCTTGTATCGCAAGTATCCTTTGAAAAAGCGATTTCCTTCATTGGTCGTTCACCCGGTTAAAAAACAAAGGCGACAAATTATTGTGAACCACTTTTGTGGAGCCAGTTGTCTCTTCAAAGCGTACCACCTCTTATTCTCTGGGTCTTTCGGTAAAGTCATGTAGATAGCTTCAAAGAAAATAACAAAAAACTACGACGTCTCGATCGCAACACAAGCGTTCGAAACGTCGTAATTTTTTGTTATTTTCTTTGAACCTATCTACGTGACTTTACCAAAAGACCCAGCGAATATGAATTCCTGCAGTCACGAAAGCTTTAAGTCAAGATCATACCACTTCTGTCGTCACACGCAAGGAGAAACCGGCCATGTTGAACACCCTCACTTTGCCACGACGAACCCCGAGTTGCGTGGGTGACGTGGAAATGCAGAATCGGAATCTTTGTTTTTTCCTGGAGGAATCCGTTGAGCTATGAAGCTCTTTTATTCATGGATGTCCAGCAGGGGCGGGTCAGCAGTGCAACGCTTATTCTCGCTGATGCAGTGGGTGCAGTTGGCAAACTCCATTTCCACGCTTTCCCACGCACCGGACCCCTCTTAACCGCATTAATTGCGGACAAACACCGCGTGCTTCTGATGACGATTGTGCAGCACGCCACCCTCCCCCACGTGCGGCTTTTAGGATCAGTTTGCTGCTCAACTCTTCTCGTCTGCTGCTTTTCGCTACTTTATTCCCGCAGAGATGATAGGAAGAATCATTGATAAAATAGGACGCGTGGATTAATGTGGGGTGTTTGGATAAGGAAATAAAATCATCACTGGTTTATGCGCATTGCAGATGAATGCTCAACTTTTATTGAAGGCCCACGATAAGATGGAGAAACGCCGACAATGTCTCCAGTAATTGGGAGAACGTTGCAATATTTAAACTTTAAATGGTTCAAGTAAATATACAGTGCTCCACGTAACAGCTCTGACTCTGGTTGAGGAGTCCTATGAATCTGCAATGGTGGCCATATTTTATTTGCGCTGTGGTGTGGCAGAATGAGTATGTGAGGTCAAGCTGTTATGGGTTGGAGCATTAGAATCATAATATACTGGCGGAATCCGATGAGCTATAAAGCGTTTTTTCCCCACATGACCAGTCGGGGTAGGTAAGTACGTTACAACAAACAATGCAAAAACACGATATCAGTGTAAAGTATAGGAACGGTAAAAACATTTTCTTAAAATATACAAATCAAACAAAACTATTTTTACATCACCAGATAAAGCCCACTAAGGTATTATGTTTCAGAAGCGACCTGGCCACAAATGCGAGCTCAACAAAGTGGCTTATCACTTGGAAATGTATAGCATGGGATTGAGCACAGTTCAAAATTGCTATTCTGGCGATTCCTGTTTCCACATCTGATAGCAAGCACACGCCCAGAGTAACTTTATTTGGGCATGACATGCCTACTTTATCATCATTTATAGTCATTCAATCTCGCGTGGAGTCCTGGACGTCTCGCGATCACTTGGAGACCCAAATCAGTCTTGTGATCGCACTTTTTTCAGTCGTGCATAGCAATAAAACATACAATCGCGCGTGGATTGACAGGGCACCTAAATGCGACGGCATCTCATGGTTCCCTGAACTTCACCCATTGGATTCCTTCGCCTATGTTCAGGAGGGAGCAGACTGGATATATCACCGTCGAACCAGATACTGACGTTTTTTTTGGCTCATCCACACCGATTTCAACAACGACCACACTCGAGGTCGCAACAAAGCCAAAGACGCGTGTTGCGAGCAGAGAGTGCTGCTTGTGCCTGGCCGCTTCACGCATTGGGCCTTTGCTCAGAGACTGTTAATATACGCGGCACAGAAAGAAACGGGATCATTAATTGCATAGCCAGCCGGAGTTGGGTCAGGCAGAGGTAGCCTGTGGCCGGTTGTGTAAAATAAATCACTTAAGTCCCCTTAGTTCTCACACTGATTTGCATTCCACACAAAGGGGAAAATCCCTTCAGATTCATAAAACGAAATAATCCTTGGCTGAAGCAAGTCTCACTGCGTACGAGGCACCGAGTGTCAAAAAGCACAGCTCCAGAGTTTTCTTGTGTTGAACCAATGCTGCTGAAATTGAGCACTTATTCTTGCATATTATGGAAATATGTTAATGAGCTGATTGCCAATGTCTAAGCCACGATGAGAGGGCTTCAGGAGGGAGGTTCGTGTCGTGTTGCTGTTCATCCCCCGTTGAAGGGGCGCAGACTACAGTGGGTTTACTATTTAGTTTATAATTTTGGGTCGCATAGCTACAGTGGCGACGACTGCGGCCTGTCTCTAATGTTGCATTTATGAAATAAATTAAGTGTGTCGGCCTGCTGGTAATATCGCGATGCAGTCGACGGCTGGCGAACACCGCCAGTGTCTCGAGGCGAGGTCGTTATTCAACCGATGAATGGGCGGGGGGAGTGGACAGGGGACTGGGCGGGGGGGGCAGGGGACTGGGCGGGAGGGGGGGGGCAGCGGGCGGGGGGGCAGCGGGCGGGGGTCGCTGTGGGTGGGGGGGGAAACGCGGGCGTGGAGCTGGGGGCTGGTGACGCGCGTAAAAGCCGCGCGTGCCCGGACTGACAACAGCGACGGCGGCGAAGAGGAGAGGAGAGGCGGTGGCCACACGAGGAGGAGGCGGCCACACGGGCCCCACGACGGGGAGGCGAGAGACGCCGGCGACGCGCACGCGCGCTCGTCCAGTGACCAAGAGGGGGAGGGGAGGGAAGGAGGCGGCCCTCGTTCGCCCCCCGCTCGTTTTCGCCGCGTCGAGTCGCCGGCCGTGCGGGGGCTGGGAGCCCGAGCCGGGGCTGGGAGCCGTGCGGGGGCTGGGAGCGGCGCGGGTGCATGGAGGAGCGGGGGACGCGCGACGCCGCGACGGCGACACCCGAAACATGACCGAGAGGTGCGACAGGGACTCCGCGTTCTTTCTCCCGGCGCGGCACCATCGGGGGCAGCGGCGCGGGCCGAGGGGCGGGGGAGTGCGGAGATGGCGTGCGGTGGGGAATTGTGATGGTGGTTGCGTTGCGATGGAGGGAGTGGACTGCGATGGAGTGTGTTGTCATGGGAGGGAGTGGGCCTGTGATGGTGGTTGTGATGGGTGTGGGTTTTGATGGAGGGAGTGGATTGTGGTGTGATTGTTGTGATGGGAGGGAGTGTGTTGTGATGGTGAATGTGATGGGAGTGTGTTGTCATGGTGGTTGTGATGGGAGGGAGTGTGTTGTGATGGTGGTTGTGTTGTGATGGGAGGGAGTGTGTTGTCATGGTGGTTGTGATGGGAGGGAGTGTGTTGTCATGGTGGTTGTGATGGGAGTGTGTTGTGATGGTGGTTGTGTTGTGATGGGAGGGAGTGTGTTGTCATGGTGGTTGTGATGGGAGGGAGTGTGTTGTCATGGTGGTTGTGATGGGAGGGAGTGTGTTGTCATGGTGGTTGTGATGGGAGGGAGTGTGTTGTCATGGTGGTTGTGATGGGAGTGTGTTGTGATGGTAGTTGTGTTGTGATGGGAGGGAGTGTGTTGTGATGGTGATTGTGATGGGAGTGTGTTGTGATGGTGGTTGTGATGGGAGGGAGTGTGTTGTGATGGTGGTTGTGATGGGAGGGAGTGTGTTGTGATGGTGGTTGTGATGGGAGGGAGTGTGTTGTCATGGTGGTTGTGTTGTGATGGGAGGGAGTGTGTTGTGATGGAGATTGTGATGGGAGGGAGTGTGTTGTGATGGTGGTTGTGTTGTGATGGGAGGGAGTGTGTTGTCATGGTGGTTGTGATGGGAGGGAGTGTTATGATGGTGGTTGTGATGGGAGTGTGTTGTGATGGTGGTTGTGTTGTGATGGGAGGGAGTGTGTTGTGATGGTGATTGTGATGGGAGGGAGTGTGTTGTGATGGTGGTTGTGTTGTGATGGGAGGGAGTGTGTTGTGATAGTGGTTGTGTTGTGATGGGAGGGAGTGTGTTGTGATGGTGGTTGTGTTGTGATGGGAGGGAGTGTGTTGTGATGGTGGTTGTGATGGGAGGGAGTGTGTTGTGATGGTGGTTGTGATGGGTGTAGGTTGTGATGGGTGGGAGTGGACTATGATGGATGTGTTTGTGATGGTGGTTGTGTTGTGATGGGAGGCAGTAGGATGTGATGGTGGTTGTGATGGGTGTGGATTGTGATGGGTGGGAGTAGGCTATGATGGATGTGTTTGTGATGGTGGTTGTGTTGTGATGGGAGGGAGTGGGATGTGATGGTGGTTGTGTTGTGATGGGAGGCAGTAGGATGTGATGGTGGTTGTGATGGGTGTGGGTTATGATGGGTGGGAGTAGGCTATGATGGATGTGTTTGTGATGGTGGTTGTGTTGTGATGGAGGCAATGGATTGTGATAGGGAGTGCAATGGTTATCGCGCTGCGCTACGAACCCGGCGATCCGAGTTCTAATCTCACTCACCAGTGACTGATCTGAACCGGTCCTGTGCCTCCCTTAGGTCGACTCAACCTAATTTGAGTACCCGGTGTGGTGTGTAAACATGGCAAAGAGGGAGACAAAGGCGGCCGGGCGTGGCGCTGCCTACCCACCCTCTCGTGTGCCGTGCCAGCCTTTATAGGTGCTCGCTAACAGCACTTGCCCCTACAGTCTGCTATAAGGGGATTTTTATATTTCTTTGGAATGTGATGGAGCGATGTGATTGTGAGACTGGGATGTCATGGATGGAGGGAATATGGTGTGATGGAGGGAGTATGATGTGATGAAGGGAGTGGGGTGTGATGGCGTGTGATGCTGAGAGTGGGATGTGATGGAGGGAGTTAGGTGTGATGGAGGGAGTGGGATGTGATGGTGGTTGTGTTGCGATGGGAGGGAGTGTGTTGTGATGGTGGTTGTGATGGGAGGCAGTGTGATGTGATGGAGGGAGTGGGATGTGATGGATGGAGTATGATGAGGTGAAGGGAGTGGGGTGTGATGGAGGGAGTGGGGTGTGATGGTGGTTGTGATGGGAGGGAGTGTGTTGTGATGATGGTTTTGATGGGAGGGAGTGTGTTGTGATGGGAGTGTGATGGGAGGGAGTGTGTTGTGATGGTGGTTGTGTTGTGATGGGAGGCAGTAGGATGTGATGGTGGTTGTGATGGGTGGTAGTAGGCTATGATGGATGTTTGTGATGGTGGTTGTGTTGTGATGGGAGGGAGTGGGATGTGATGGTGGTTGTGTTGTGATGGAGGCAATGGATTGTGATAGGGAGTGCAATGGTTGGCGTGCTGCGCTACGAACCCGGCGATCCGAGTTCTAATCTCGCTCACCAGTGACGATGATCTGAACCGGTCCTGTGCCTCCCTTAGGTCGACTCAACCTGAATTGAGTACCTGGTGCGGTGTGTAAACATCGCAAAGAGGGAGACAAAGGCGGCCGGGCGTGGAGCTGGCTACCCACCCTCTCGTGTGCCGTGCCGGCCTTCATAGGTGCTCGCTAACAGCACTTGCCCCTACAGTCTGTTATAAGGGGATTATTTTTATTTCTTTGGAATGTGATTGAGCGAGTGGGGTGTGATGGCGTGTGATGCTGAGAGTGGGATGTGATGGAGGGAGTTGGGTGTGATGGAGGGAGTGGGGTGTGATGGAGGGAGTGGGATGTGATGGAGGGAGTGGGATGTGATGGAGGGAGTGGGATGTGATGGTGGTTGTGTTGCGATGGGAGGGAGTGTGTTGTGATGGTGGTTGTGATGGGAGGCAGTGTGATGAGATGAAGGGAGTGGGATGTGATGGAGGGAGTGGGGTGTGATGGAGGGAGTGGGATCTTATGGAGGAAGTGGGATCTTATGGAGGAAGTGGGGTGTGATGGAGGGAGTGTGATGTAATGGGGAGAGTGAGATGTGATGGTGGTTGTGTTGTGATGGGAGGCAGTAGGATGTGATGGTGGTTGTGATGGGTGTGGGTTATGATGGGTGGGAGTAGGCTATGATGGATGTGTTTGTGATGGAGGCAATGGATTGTGATAGGGAGTGCAATGGTTGGCGTGCTGCGCTACGAACCCGGCGATCCGAGTTCTAATCTCGCACACCAGTGATAATGATTTGAACCGGTCCTGTGCCTCCCTTAGGTCGATTCAACCTGAATTGAGTACTTGGTGTGGTGTGTAAATATCGCAAAGAGGGAGACAAAGGCGGCCAGGCGTGGCGCTGGCTACCCACCCTCTCGTGTGCCGTGCCGGCCTTCATAGGTGTTCGCTAACAGCACTTGCCCCTACAGTCTGTTATAAGGGGATTATTTTTATTTCTTTGGAATGTGATGGAGCGAGTGGGGTGTGATGGCATGTGATGCTGAGAGTGGGATGTGATGGAGGCAGTGGGATGTGATGGAGGGAATGGGGTGTGATGGAGGGAGTGGGATGTGATGGAGGGAGTGTGATGTGATGGAGTGAGTGTCATGTGATGGAGGGAGTGTGATGTGGAGGGAGTGTGATGTGATGGAGTGGGGTGTGATGGAGGGAGTGGGGTGTGATGGAGGGAGTGGGGTGTGATGGAGGGAGTGTGATGTGATGGAGGGAGTGGGGTGTGATGGAGGGAGTGGGGTGTGATGGAGGGAGTGGGGTGTGATGGAGGGAGTGTGATGTGATGGAGGGAGTGTGATGTGGAGGGAGTGGGATGTGATGTAGGGAGTGGGGTGTGATGGAGGGAGTGGGGTGTGATGGAGGGAGTGGGGTGTGATGGAGGGAGTGGGGTGTGATGGAGGGAGTGGGATGTGATGAAGGGAGTGTGATGGAGGGAGTGGAATTTGATGGGGGGGGGTGGAATATGATGTCAGTCTAACCTCTCAGAGCCATAGTCAAGTAAACTGGAATTGAATCTTACTCCTGCGAGTCTTCCTGAAATATGTTTGTAAAAAAATCGACGAAAGAACTCCAACTGGAAGATTGTTCACGCGGGAGCAGATGGTGTGCATGTTTGAGTGCACTATCAATTCCGAATGTATGCATTCGAGCCACGCTTATCTGTTGTATGAAATTATGCAGTCTGCTCCCTTGGACTGCATTATTCTCCACCAACTGTTTGTGCACAAACACGGTCCAGCCACATTGGGTTGACAAGCTCACATCACCTCCGCTACCCTGCACGCAGGGCCTCCTTACCCACACAGCCGGCGATCACGTGCAACAATTGATACTTTGTGCCCACTGCAGCAGTATTCCTTATCACCGTTGGCTTTGTGCACATACAGCATACAAAAAACATTGTCAATCTTATTCACGTATTTAAAGCGTAAAATACCAATTGCACCCAAAGTACAATCGGCTTTTAAAGTAGACACTTAAACAATTTGTTTTGTATTTAACCACTTAACTATACGATCAGTGCCCGGGTTACGGAAGGGTGAGGTTCCCGGGAGTGATCCATAACCCGAATTTTCCGTATGTCGGAAACTGAACAATTTTCTCCCCAAAATCAACGATAAAATCCCATAGCCGGAAATGGTTGTGCCTCCCCTACCGTTTTCTCTCGGTACTGCATCGCGCTGCCATCCGCTTTCTATCTCGACCTGTATCGTATCGCCGTACATACTCTGCACTTATTATAATTCTTTCACTTCATCTAATATCTACCCTAACACTACCCATAATTAAACTAATGGAACATATAACTGTATCCAGTTATTTAACAGAACGCCATCACTTCCAAATGTTTGTTTACCGTGCATTAAGCTAGGCCTAGACTTCATACATACACATACCCACACCGTACGTACAGTAAATAACTCATGAAATAATCTTAAAATGAAGAAAACTAGCAAAAGACACATGGGAATAAAATATAGTTCTAGCATAGAAAAAAAAATTACCCAATGCTACAAATGGAAAAGAATTACGTTACGCGACAAAAAGATTCATTTGCCTTAATCCGAGTGAAGCTCGTGCTCTGTGAAGGTGGCGTTTTGGTGGAGCGAGGCGTAAGGCGACTCGCCTTGCGCTTCGCTCTGCGGTATTCATACGCGACCTCACCCTGCTGCACTATTTGCGCTTACGTAACTAACGCAAACATTTCTGCATTTTGATTTTTTACATTATTTATGGGAGCATTTTCGTCAAGTCAGATTTCCGTAAGTCGGGTCTTCCGTAACCCGGGGACTGCCTGTGTATAGCTCTTTTTCAGAAGCGACCTGGTCACAATTGATAGCTCAACGAAGTGGTTCATCGCGTGGAAATTTATAGCGGCCAAATACTCTAAAACGCGTGACGTTGATTCTAAATATGGAGGGAAAAACCGGAGGACTCGAAGAAACATCCACACGACCACAGGAACACGCAAACTCCAAATATACAGGCATGAGGGTCTAGATCAAGCCCACGACATCCTGCATACAAGGCGAATAAGATAACATTTCCCCACCACGGCGCCCCTTTTGGCATTTATCAGCTGTACGGTAAGATTATTGCATTTAGTAAATAGATTTTTGAGGTTCGCACGCAGCCCCACGGTGTGTAGACATCGCACTCAGAACGCTGCGCATCCTCGCCCTTTTTCGCTCGGCTATGATTCTGACTGCGCATTCCAAAGTTTGTATTTGGAGCAAAGTATTTGCACGTGATCCAAACAGGGCCTTGACAAAGCGGCCGCTATGGTTGCGAGATGTTATATCACTCACCTGGTATACAGGAGGTTGTGGGTTCGATCCCGACCGTGACGCCTGTGTGTTTGGAGTTTGCGTGCCTCTCTCCCCGTGGTCGAATGGATTTGTCTCCGGGTCTTCCAGTTTTTCCCTCCCACGTTTTGTATCAACATCATGCTTTTCATGTTATTTGGCTGCTCTAAATTTGCACGTGATAAGCCACCACTTCATTGGGCTGTCATTTATGATGGCCAGGGTCGCTTCTTAAAAAAGAGCTACACAGCTCAGTGGGGCCTTACACCTGCTAAAATAAAAAATATTTTATTGTTTAGTTTAGAGCACGGCTCGTACAGCGTCTCCTCGCTCTCTGCTGCTGCGCATTTCACAGCTTCCGGCGCTGTTGCTTCCAGCGCCGTTGCTTCCAGTTCTCCGCTTGCGGCCAGCTACTTGCATTGTGCGGTGTTGACACCGCGTCTTAATTGTAGTTAATCGATCAATGAGGCTTTATTCTACACGCCAATGTCACCCTCAATAAAGTGGGAGTTGGTGCACGTTACAGCAGAATGAGAACGATAGCGGGGGGGGGCACAGAGAAACGGGAATGAAAAAGATAAATCCCGTCGCACCCTCGGCAGCTAACACCGCGTGAGCAAAGTAAATTGAAACTGCGCGCAAAAAATTGTGGAACGTGTGCATTGTGGAAAGCTGAACTTGGCAATGCAAAGCAATGTACCAAATTCGCCTTTTAATGAAGAGAATATTACTCAGTGCCTACTGGCCGATACCACACGTAGATCAGTAATGTGGACTTTGACGAAGAAAATGCGAGATCGAGTGAACAGTGCACAAACTGCCGTTTGTGTTTAGTTTCTTGTCCTTCCCCCGCACCTCCGATTAGCACAGTTGGCTATCATACGGTGTGAAAGAAGTTCATCATACACACATACAAAGGAGCATAGAGAGGAGTTACTTTGAGAGACAGGAAGGGGCGCACGCAGATTGCAGGACATAGTAAGGTTGAAGACTTCTCTCTGACTTTCAGGAAAGTAATTCAGGAAGGGTCGATGGATGGCGGTCGAGAATGAGAACGGAGTTGAGATGGAGCGATGAAATTGGCGCATGTGACTGGTCGGTGAAATGTTACATCAGATGACTGAGAAATGGTGATGGCTTGGGAGTCCTCGTCCAGCAGTGGATTGATCATGGCTGACCACGATGTTGATGTTTAGCATCTTGGCAGTGGTGGCTATGCACGTGGCCTGTAATCCAGCATTGGACGTGAGGGTTGGTGGATCACACGTGGGTTTTCTCCAGGTGCTCCGGTTCCCTCCTAGAGTATATACGTATAAGCAATCATTAATTGGCTGAAAATATTTTAAAGACTCAATACAGGACCCCACTGAAAAAAAAGAGTCCTATGACTCGGTGTGGCTATTCTGGATGAATAACTGATAGCCTGTTTTGCAGATTTGAGTGGGTGGAAATCATTGAACCCCGGACGCGGGAACACATGTACGCCAACCTGGTGACGGGCGAGTGCGTGTGGGACCCGCCAGCCGACGCCAAGATCAAGCGCACGCACGACAACCAGTGGTGGGAGCTGTTCGACCCGAACACGGCGCGTTTCTACTACTACAACGCGTCGAGCCAGCGCACGGTATGGCATCGCCCGCAGCACTGCGACATCATCCCCCTTGCCAAGTTGCAGACTCTCAAGCAGAGCACGGAGGCGCAGGGGCTGCATGTTGCCGGGCCCCTGCTGCCCAAAGCGGCTGGACTGCAGGAGCCGCAGCAGAAGCAGCAACCGCCGCCCGGCAATCTCGATGCAGAGGGACAGCCGTACCTCGTGGGCGCGCCGGGTCAAGACCACGGCAAACAGCAGATGCAGAGGCCGGATGGTGAGGAGAGAAAGTGCTGGCTGCGGGCGGACATGCTGAGCGCGCTAAGGTCCAGCATGGAGGCGAACGCTGGGGACACCGCTGAGGGCGAGAGGAAGCCGTCCGCTCCGTGCCACGACGCGGGGACGCCCGGGCAGCGTGCGCTCGCTGACGCGCTGAGTCGCACTCAGCCGCCCGTGGCCTCCAAGCCGTACTCCCGGTGAGCGCAGGTCCCACTCGGGTCCCAATCCGGTCCCTGCACGGCGACACGTCCTCAGCAGGCCATCGTTTTTCTTGAAAGTGCGGAGTGCTGTTAGAATGTGGCTGACGATTTGCATGATTGGCTTCAGTTATTTTACATCATTACCATTCGAGTTGGAGCCTGTTGAATATTCCTTATCATTTTCTCTTTCCAGACCATCTCCGAAGGCGTTCCCGGCACCGTCCATCCCGAGAGGCAAGCCGTCCCCTCTGATCCCCGGCAGCCAATGCCAGATGTCGGTGAGGCCTCCTGGATCTCTACACCCCTACGAGGGGACCGGCTCGGTGCCACCACACCAGCCCGGCACGGTGGGCGGTGGCGGTGCCCCCCCCCATGCCAAGCCGCGGCACCACAGCCAGGGCTCGGGCGAGCAGCACGCCGTGCATGAGGCCATCATCGCCGGGACGCTGCCGGATTGCGAGCCACCGCCCGTCAAGCCGCGGCACCACAGCCAGGGCTCGGCCGACCGCGCCGATCTCTCGCGCGCCACGGAGCTCCTCCGGGCGCGACCCTGCGGTGGCCCATCGGAGCGGCCGCCGCACATCTCCGACCCGCCACCCGCGTCCCCGACGGCACCGCCGCCGTCGTCGTCCCATGCCTGGCAGTACCCGCAGGAGGCGCGGGGTGGCGCGCGGGCCCACCCGCAGGACGCATGTCGGGCGGCGAAGGCTCCCGGTGGCGCCGCCAAGGGCCAGACGGTGTCACGACGTTACGCCGGCTCGGCGCACCAGCACCGGCCGCTCTCCAGCTTCTCGTCGCTGGGCCGTCCCCGCAGGCACTCGAGCGGCGCCCAGCCCGGCAGAGATTACACGGTGACGGTGGCGGCGGTGCGGTGACGGCGCGCGTTCCACTGCCGCTCGGCTGTGCGCGAGCGGTCGGGGGGTTGTGCAGCAAAATCCATCGTTGTACAGATATGCGTATATATTCAATTAATAATAAATAAATACACTGCAATTGATCAATAAATAATATAATCGGCGATCTACAGTGCAGTATAAATGAGAATACAATTTAGATTTAAAGCTTTCGTGACTGCAGGGATTAATATTATTGGTTCTTTCGGTAAAGTCACGTATTTTTATTATTTTTATTAATAAAAATAATAAAATATAAAAAATAAAATTCTCACGACGTTTCGACTGTTTGGGGGGGACAGCAGTGGGGGCCCCTCTCCCTACCTTTTACCTCCTCTCCTTTACATGGTCCAGTTGCGTGAAATATGACTTCAGGTTATGCGAGCCGCGTGGCGTGCTGTTTCGGGCTCGTCGCGTTTTGTTACAAACAAAAAAAAGAGTGAACAGGAACGCCACAGGTGAGTGAAACAAAACACGACCCAGAGAACGGAGGCGAGGGGAGCACGGAGCATGTGGAGCAACATCACTCGGCAATTCGGTCGTATTGTTTGTATTCCACCTACTTTGGCACCGGTGGCAAAACAACGTCCATTGTTTCGCGTTCCTTCCCGCAGGGCACGGAGACGCGAGACTTCCCGATCTACGACGAGCCCCCTGCCGAGCCGCAGCTTAGCGTCTACGACGAGCCGCACGCCGACACCGCGCACGGCGACACCGCGCAGCAGAGCCGTGGGCACCACGCGGGGACGCCGCACGGCAGCCACGGGGGGACGCAGCACGGCAGCCACGGGGGGACGCCGCACGGCAGCCACGGGGGGACGCCGCACGGCAGCCACGGGGGGACGCCGCACGGCAGCCACGGGGGGACGCCGCACGGCAGCCACGGGGGGACGCCGCACGGCAGCCACGGGGGGACGCCGCACGGCAGCCACGGGGGGACGCCGCACGGCAGCCACGGGGGGACGCCGCACGGCAGCCACGCGTGCCTGTGCTCCGAGCCGCAGCCCGGCCCCAATGAGCGCCCGCGCCCCGCGCTGCACACCTTCTCCTCCCAGGGTTCCCTGCCCTCGCCCTCCATACAGTACCTGAGGCAAGCCATCCAGATGTCCCAGGATAGCGCTACTCAAGGGCTGGCTTCTCTGCCCGCGGAGCAGCAGCAACAGCAGCACATCTCTCTCCCATCAGACGGAGCTCAGCAACGGTACGCGAGCCCCTTTCCCAACAGCGTTTTAAACCGACAGATCGTCAGCTCCCTGGAGCAGTGTCTCAAGAGCCAGTTGGGGGGCACAGCAGAGGGCCGCCCCCTTCACCGCCAGGCCGCTCAGGACGGCACACCTTGTGCGGGGCAGGTGGGCGCCACTGGCCACGGCCCGCAAGCGAAGCACTTTGGAGACTCCAGCTTGGCGAGGGAGAAGGGACACTGCGGTCACCTCATGCTGGGCTGGCAGGGCTTGGTGCAGAATGGACACGGAAAGCTCGCGAGCCAGGGTGCGAGCCAGGAGGCGGTGCACGTTCGATGCAGCAGTCAGGACGGCGACGGCAGACCCGGCGCAAAGGAGGCTGGCTACGGCAGGGGAAACGCTCAAGACGCGCACGGTTCACAGGGCAGCCAGTGCAGCAGCACCAGACAGAGCAGCCAGGAAACGAGTAGCCGCCAGAGCAGCCAGGACTGCCACAGCCGGCAAAGCAGCGAGATGTCAATGGATGAATCCTTCTCGAGCCACAGCACCGAAGACTCGGTGTCCTCTCTGAGCCATTCGCCCGGCCGCCGCCGCAAGAAGAGCAAGCCGGTGGCCGTGCCGATTGTGTGCCCGCCTCCCCCGCTCAGCCCGGGCCTGGGCCTGTGCTTCCCCCCGCCGGGCGGGCGTGGGCCGCAGGAACTTGTGTCGAGCCTCAGCAACCCCTCGCTTCCCGCGGCGCGCCTCTCCGCTCTCATCCGCCAGCACCAGCTGGGCTACAAGCACTCCGACTCGGAGCTGTCGCGCGGCAGCAGCGAGGCCTCGCTGCCCTGCACGCGCAAGTTTCTCCAGGCAGAGGAGGGTGGCGGGGACTTGGGGTGGGGGCTGCGCGAGCATCTGGGCTACGAGAGCGACGGGGCCCTCCCGTCCCCGCTGGCGGGGCCCGTGGTGAGGGCCCTGAGCGAGGACGAGGCTCTCACCCAGGCCGACTGCTCCGTGCGGAGGGGGCGCCGCACTGCCGCCGATAAGCCAGGCTGCTCTGCCCAGCTCGAGAAAACCATGTCGCTGCAGGCCAACCTTTCTTCCCCCCCCGAGCCGCTGATGCAGCCCTCGCAGGTAAATCCAGGCAAGGGCCTGGCATGGACGGAAAGGGCCTGGCAGGCACAGTCATGGCCAGGCAGGCCTGGCAGGCCTGGCAAGCCTGGTAGGGCCTGGCAGGGCCTGGCAGGGCCTGGCAGGGCCTGGCAGGGACAGTCATGGCCTGGCAGGGACAGTCATGGCCTGGCAGGGACAGTCATGGCCTGGTTGGGCCTGGCAGGGCCTTGCAGCATCTGGCAGGGCCTTGCAGCATCTGGCAGGGCCTGGAAGGGTCTGGCAGGGCCTGGCAGGGTCTGGCAGGACCTGTCGGGGCCTGGCAGGGACAGGCATGCCCTAGCAGGGCCTACCAGGGCCTCGCATGGTCTGGCAGGGCCTCGCAGGGCCTCGCATGGTCTGGCAGGGCCTGGCAGGGTCTAGCAGGGTCTGGTAGGGCCTGGCAAGAACTGGCAGGGCCTGCCAAGGACTGGCAGTGACATGCAGGGCCTGGCAAGGACTGGCAGTGACAGGCAGGGCCAGACAGGGCCTGTCAGGGTCAGGCAGGGCCTGGTAGGCCGCCTCAAGTGGGGGACGGTTCACGTAGAACGTAGGCATACTCGTGTCAGCAACGTGGAAATGATACATGGCCCAGGGTGCCGATTGACGTATATGCATAAATAAGCATACAAACAACATACAAACATGTACAATCTGTTACTTTTGATTTAAAGCTTTTGTGACTGCAGTGATTCATATTCTTGGTTCTTTCGGTAAAGTCACGTTGAAGGGAAACAATAAAATAATAAAATATATATAAAACAATAAAATTATCACGACGTTTCCACTGCAACACAAACAGTCATCATCAGGTGTGAAAACCAACGGCAAGAACATTTGAAAGAAGTGGCGGATTGTATTTATTTATTTTAAAACGTTAGCGCCACGGATAGCGATTTGACAGTTTGTTTAGATGGACGAGTCCATCTATGTTTGGAAAAGAGGAGGGGGGAGACGAAAAATTAATGTATGCTGTCTTAAAGCCACCGTAAGCGTGAACAATCAATTAAGACCCGAAATAGTTTATCAAATCCTTCCAATGATTGCTAAGCCAGAATCCATCTTCTCGGTTGAAATTGTCTCTGTTTGTATATGTGGATAGCCTCATGAACGAATCTCTCATGGTAGCCAGATGGCTTGCAAAGAACCTCTGTCTTGGAGAAGTCAATGTCATGTGAGCCTACTGAATTATAACAGTGATCTGCCACGGCCGAGGTGTTGGTCCTACCGTGTTTAAGGTCTGCTTTGTGTTCACGAATGCGGTCCGAGACATGTCGTTTGGTTTCTCCAATGTAACTACTACCACAGAGCCAACTTAGTTTGTAGGCACCAGGGTACTGTATGTCCGTAATCACATCTTTTACAGATGGAACCAGATCACGGATTTTATGTAATGTGTTGATGGTTTTGAAAGGCTCCTCAAGAGGGTCCTTCTTCATGGTTTGAGTGATAGCTTTGCGGATTGTATAGTCGGAGTAACCATTAGCCTTAAGAGCGTGGTGTACGTGCTTGAGTTCACTGCCTATGTGTTCCTGGTCGGATATGCATTGGGCTTTATGGTGCAGAGTGTTGATGAGAGAATTCTTCTTGGATGGATGGTGGTGGGAATCCGGTTTCAGATAAGCATCCGTATGGGTAGCTTTCCTGTAGACAGAGTGGCTCATTGAACCATCAGGTCTCTTTTTTATTAGGACATCCAAAAAAGGTAGCTTGCCATCTTTTTCGACTTCCATGGTAAATCAGATGGCTGGGTGTATGGAACTGATGTGGTCGAAGAATTGGTTTAGAGCAGGCCGGCCATGTGGCCAGATGACAAAAGTGCCATCCATGTACCTCTTCCATAAGGTTGGGCGCAGAGTGGCAGTCTGGATGGCGTCAGTCTCAAATTTCTCCATGAAAATGTTGGCTATAACCGGAGATAGGGGGGAGCCCATTGGGGTGCCCTCAGTTTGTTTGTAGAAAGTTCCATTCCAAGTGAAGTATGTATTGGTTAAGCAGTGTCTCACCAGGAGGGGTACCTCAGTGTTTAGTCCTTGATGAACCAAGTCTTCAATGATTGTGATGGTGTCAGGTACAGTAACTTTGGTGAATAAGGAAACTACATCAAAACCGACAAGCAAGTCGTCTGGGGACAGGGAAATACCCTTGATTGTCGATACCAGGTGAGTAGAATTTTGTACCGCCGAGGTGATTTTTCCAGTGAAAGGCCGCAGGATTTCAGACAGGAAACGAGCCAGTTTGTAGGTGGGGGAGTTGATAGTAGAGACGATGGGACGAAGGGGTGTATCTACTTTATGTATTTTTGGTAAGCCGTATAATCTTGGTGGCCTGGCAGCAGAAGGTTTCAACGAAAACTGTTTAGTTTGATCAATTAATGCGGTTGAATCAGAAATTATTTTGTTGGTTTGTGTGACGAGGCTGTTGGTGGGATCTCTTTTTATTTTTGTATAGCTGCCATCGTCGAGTAATTCTTTAATTTTGTTGTCATATTCTATTTTATCCATGATGACAGTAGCATTGCCCTTGTCGGCTGAGAGGATTAAAATGTCATCCCTCTTTTTTTATTTATATAATTGAAAACGCTCATCTTTGCTGAGGTTGCTAGCTGGCATCTTGGCGTTTTTGAGGGTTGCAGCGATTTCAGATCTTGCTACGTCTGCAGCGATGTGACCGAGGCCCTTGAGAGCCACGTCTACTTGGGCAATGATATCATTAACTGGTATGTGTTTAGGTGTGACTGCAAAGTTTAGACCTTTAGCTAAAACGGATTTCAGACCATCGGAAATAGAACTGTTGCTGCGATTAATTACGACTTTGTTAACGTCTAGCTCTTTGGTGTGTGGGTCCGGTCTTTTGTTGGAGAGGAGGTTAAATTTGGAACTCAGGTTGTCCTTACATTTGGTCGACATAGTAGCAGCTGAAGAGGCAGTCATATTGTTTACATGTTCCCAATCCGATGTGGACATTGTTGCCGTCAATGATAAGTGTGATTTATAGAGTGTCTTGTCTAACTGATCTAGTTCGGTGCGTATAAGTCTGATTTTCTCTGAGATAAGAGCTAAGCTAGTTCTGGAAAGAATTCATTTCGCATTAGAATAAGTAACAGCAGCAGAGGTCAGTGTAAATGCGATTGGTATTTCCCCAGAGTCGCGGCATCTCTTCAGAAAGGTGAGAGACTCGATCAGCTGAGCCTTCTTATCCCGGAGTTTGTTGAAGGATCTTAAAGTTATGTGGAAACCCTCCCCGTAGAGGCGGTTAAATTTGTATTTAAAGCTTTCGTGACTGCAGTGATTCATATTCTTGGTTCTTTCGGTAAAGTCACGTAGAAGAGAAACAATAAAATAATAAAATATATAAAAAATAAAATTCTCACGACGTTTCGACTGCAACACAAACAGTCATCATCAGGTGTGAAAACCAACGGCAAGAACATTTGAAAGAAGTGGTGGTCTTTATTTATTTATTTTAAAACGTTAGCTCCACGGATAGCGATTTGACAGTTTGTTTAGATGGACGAGTCCATCTATGTTCGGAAAAGAGGAGGGGGGAGACGAAAAATTAATGTATGCTGTCTGAAAGCCACCGTAAGCGTGAACAATCAATTAAGACCCGAAATGGTTTATCAAATCCTTCCAATGATTGGTAAGCGAGAATCCATCTTCTTGGTTGAAATTGTCTCTGTTTGTATATGTGCATAGCCTCATGAACGAATCCCTCATGGGTAGCCAGATGGCTTGCAAAGAACCTCTGTCTTGGAGACGTCAATGTCATGTGAGCCTACTGAATTATAACAGTGATCTGCCACGGCCGAGGTGTTGGTCCTACCGTGTTTAAGGTCTGCTTTGTGTTCACGAATGCGGTCCGAGACATGTCGTTTGGTTTCTCCAATGCAACTACTACCACAGAGGCAACTTAATTGGTAGACACCAGGGTACTGTATGTCCGGAATCACATCTTTTACTGATGGAACCAGATCACGGATTTTATGTAATGTGTTGAAACGGACCTGGATCTTGTGTTTATTCAAGATTTTGGAGATCTTTTTTGCGATCCCCGTAATGTAGGGTAAAGTGATGGTTTTTAAAGGCTCCTCAAGAGGGTCCTTCATGGTTTGAGGGATAGCTTTGCGGATTGTATAGTCGGAGTAACGATTAGCCTTCAGAGCTTGGTGTACGTGCTTGAGTTCACTGTCTATGTGTTTCTGGTCGGATATGCATTGGGCTCTATGGTGCAGAGTCTTGATTAGATAATTCTTCTGTGAAGAAGAGGTACGTGGATGACACTTTTGTCATCTGGCCACATGGCCGGCCTGCTCTCGACAAATTCTTCGATCACATCAATTCCATTCACCCAGCCATCAGTCGCGAAAGATGGCAAGCTGCCTTTTTTGGATGTCCTAATAAAAAAAAAACCTGATGCTTCAATGAGCCACTCTGTCTACAGGAAAGCTACCCATATGGATGCTTATTTGAAACCGGATTCCGACCACCATCCATCACAGAAGAATTCTCTCATCAAGACTCTGCACCATAGAGTCTTAATTGATTGTTCACGCTTACGGTGGCTTTCAGACAGCATACATTAATTTTTCGTCTCCTCCCTCCTCTTTTCCAAACATAGATGGACTCGTCCATCTAAACAAACTGTCATATCACTATCCGTGGTGCTAACATTTTAAAATAAATAAATACAAACCGCCACTTCTTTCAAATGTTCTTGCCGTTGGTTTTCACACCTGATGATGACTGTTTGTGTTTCAGTCGAAACGTCGTGAGAATTTTATTGTTTTTTATATATATTTTAGTATTTTATTGTTTCCCTTCAACGTGACTTTTCCAAAAGAACCAAGACTGAATCTGTTACTTATAGAACATTCATTTATATAGTTAATATCACACACAGTCAAAACACTTAGCGATATATCAAAGGTGAAATAGTATATTTCGCCGGATCATATGCAATGCACTCTGACTGCAGAACAGTTGCACATCTGTGCTAGTATTATATTCTTAGTTTTTTCGGTAAAGTCACGTTGAAGGGAAACAACAAAATAATAAAATATATTTATTGTTTTATATATTTTATTATTTTGTTGTTTCCCTTCAACGTGACTTTACCGAAAAAACTAAGAATATGAATTACTGCAGTCACAAAAGCTTTAAATCAAAATCTGTGCTAGTGTTTTGCTTTGGATTTTTTTCAGCTGAGACTGGTGACACATTCCAGTGTGTCTGTGAGATTGTCGTGTGGTGTGTCTCGGCGAGAGTGTGCCTGCTTGGATTTTCACTCTAGGGGATAGACTAATTGTTATGATTTTGTGACTGAAGAGCAGAGTTTTTGTTGGGAGTAATATGATATGGGGGGCGTGGACGTTTTTGTGAGCAGTCGGCGGACCTGGCTCTTTGCGGCGCGGGGGAGTGGCACGGCGCCACGACGCCCGGGATGCTGCAGGCGATGGGCTCCTTCCGACTCCGCAAGCCGTCCTCCGAGAGCGACATTGAGGGCTGGGCCTCCAAGCACCTCAACACGCACACGCAGGGGATCTTCCGCCGCAAGCTCTCCATCGTGAACCTGCTGTCGTGGAGCGGTGAGGCCATCCGCAAGCCGCTCATCGTCACGGCGGACCGTACCATCATGAAGGAGGCCTGCGAAGTGTTCCGCCTCGTGCAGATGTACATGGGCGACCGGCGCTGCCGGCTGGAGCGCGCGGCTGTCGCGCTGGAGGTGGCACGGCGCGGGTGGAGCCTGCAGGGCCTGCGCGACGAGCTTTTCGTGCAGCTGTGCAAGCAGACGACGGAGAACCTGCGCCCGGAGAGCTTGACCCGTGGCTGGGAGCTGCTGGCCATCTGCTTGGCCTTCTTCCCGCCGTCGCCCAAATTCCACACCTACCTGGAGGGTTACATCTACCGTCACCTTGACCCCGCGCACGACCAGAAAGGTGCTCCCCCACCCGCGCGGTCACGTCAGTTATTTTACGAGTGTGCGAATTACGAAAGCGGGGTCACGTCCTTTGTCGATGGCGGGGTAACCAAAGCAAACTGGGGGGATCCGTTTCACCGCCTAGACATTCAGTAACCTGCTGGACCATCGCCCTCCAGGCCTTCGGAAAAAAGGGTGTTGTTTAGTCGTGAGACTCGAAAAGTTGTAACAGTCCAGGTTGTGCCGGTTTTTACAAATGCTGGCTAGAACCTCACGATTATACTCATAAAGTAGACAACCGGGCCAGAGTTTTCCTGCTTAAGCGGATGGCCTATTGGCAGATGGCTTCAACTCTCGTGTGGCCGTAAAACTGTCCCTTGGCTTTTATTATCGCCGTCCACAGTCAACCCAGACGGCGGTTACATAGCGTTCTGTGACAAGCAACACATTGAAACGCATGCTATTGCAAGTTTATCTTGATGTAAAAATGTCAATACATTCGTGTATAACGTGACGATGCTCTGTGATTATACACGACGTTGAACTAGCGTTCAGCCGACTAACGTTGCTCATGTGCATTTCCGTTGTACACAAGATGGAGGAGGTAAGTGTGGGGCATTAGCATGGCCATTTTTTGTGTTTTGTTTCACTCATTTCATCTCATTCTCCAGTTGTAAAGAAGATTAAAGAAACATGGGAAATGGAAACTAAGAAGAAGTCTAAATATCGAAAGAAAAGAAAGCGTGAAATAGAAGATTTTGTCGGTAACGTCCAGTGGACAGCCCTAGCGCAGTGCCACCCTCTCGCAGTCTAACCATGCCCTCCGCCTGCTGTGCTCTGCTGTTTGCAAGTATCCACTACAAACGCAACAACGGCATGCCAGAGGAATATCGTTCTAATACATTGCGAGTGGACACGCCTTCTTACGTTTGGCCTCTCAGTAAAAGCGTGCGAGCGGACTGATGCAACGACACCTTGGCATCACTCACTAAATTATATTAAAAGAACACTCGAGTTGCTGACGGTTTGTTTCCAGTCCCTAATGGCCAAGGAAGCCGACCCATGTTGCTTACTAACATTCGCGTCACCCCCCTCACAAATACGCGGCTCTTCATTTTTGCATGGATGTCTGTTGCTTTCTGCCAGGCTGCTTTCACACAGTTGTCCGTCTCTCTGTACTCCGCAGGCTCCCTGCTTTAACCGGAACGTTCGCTCGCACTCTGTGTTTCAGATGTTGTGTACGGTCTGTGCCGCAGTCACATTCGCACCATCGGTGTTGTCCGACTGTTTCTGTGCTCTCCAGTGTAATTATTTTTTTCTTGTGATTTCTGCTATTCGTGTGACAATAGAAATGCAGTCTGTGGTTCTCACCCTTTTGTAGCATTACGTCACGTACACCACAGTTGTCACAGTCCTACTGCAGCATTCGCACTCTCGTGTATACATTTACATTTGGTTTTGCATTTAATTTGAGTATTTGGCTGTTATAAATTCCCACGTGATAAGCCACTTGGTTGGGCTATCATTTGTGGCCAGGTCGCTTCTGAAAAATAACTATATAGCTCAGTGGGCCACACTTGGTAAAGTAAAAATGTAGTTTAAAAGAACAGTTAATTTGGCTAAATTTTACCTCTGAGAATTACTAATATTGGTTAGATTATGATGCAGCAAACAGTGGCTGGCATAGTGCTTGTCCCCATTCTGTGTGGCATAAGGGTCACTGAAGGGAATCTCCGAGGTAGCTCTGTGATATCCGAAGGTTGCGAAATCCTTGGTTGGGGGTTGACTTATCCCACCATCCCTCCAGGCTCGGACATATGAACGCCGCTCTGTGGGGAAGTCAACAGTGGTTGTCCTACGGATATACTCGTCCCCTGCCATAGGAATGTGGAATTGGTACTACTGGCTCAGGACTGTAAACAAGAGATGAGCACCACCTCTATGCTCATGTGAGCAGGAAATCTCTTTGGCTTTGAGACTGCGTAGGGAGCCACTGTAGGGACATGAAGGAGCCAGCAACGTGCTCTGGCTTGCATCTGCGAGTGAGAAGTCGGGCTGTAGTATTTGGTCGTCTAAAGCTTGACAATCAGGTTTTGTGGAAAACGTCTGAAGTGGTGGCTTGGGGAAGCCTCGTCCAGCAGCGGATTGATCATGGTTGCTGAAGATTACAGAGAAAGAGAGCTGCAGTAGTCGACACGAGATGTGACGCAGGCACGCACACGGGCTGTTTGCTGCAGAGGGAGTCTCAACGTGTCAGGAGTTAGATGAGTTGTCTGGGGTGAAAGTTGGGTCGAATATGACGCCAAGGTTATAAAGCGGCTTGGCCAATCAGAATGTTTCCAGTTCGAATAACTTCTCTATACCGACCCAGATTGATGAAGAATCAATACCGACTGAACAATGAGTTGCAGTTGAATTACTGAAGAGATTTGTAATACTGGCCGTTGGCAGCATAGAATGGTGATCCACTAACGCTGGAATGATTTTATCAAGAGTGAGTAGAGAGGCGGAAGAGAGTAACAGACCAAGGATAGAATTTTAGGGAACACCTCATGACAATGATTTCGTTGGAGGATGAAGACCTTATTAAGGAGTGAGATGACAGAGGGATACCAGGAGAGGTGCTGCACTTTATGTTAGACGAGTTCAACATCGTTCTAATGTGACGCACTTTGTAAATATTTACATTGTTTGCTGCTCAATTAACAACCATTATCCCAAATTCAACAGTCAGATTTGTATTACTCAGTCTATGCAATTGATATTAGTGCGCACGCACACAGACGCCATAGAGCCTGCGATGAAGGAATGTGTACCTGTGGAATTGCGATGGGTGTCTTCTGTTGTGTTTATGCAGGCATTCCCATCAGCACCTATGCCCAGTACTGTTATCGCAAGTTGCAGAAGGTGGCTGTGACTGGGGGAAAGAAGGTGAGTGCCTTATCACACATACCAAGGGGGCCCCACCCTGACCACACACGGCTGAGTAGCATAGTGGCTATGTACCCGTCACGTTGTCTGCCATTGCGCAGAATCTCCACCTTTCTCTCGAGGGTAGAGCCGAGTTACAGGGCAAGCCAAAGGCAAATGCAATAATCCACCCGGTACCTGCACACGAGCTGAATTCCTTGCTCCATCTCCTTGGTGGAGAATTCCTCAGCTTTGCTCACTCCCTTGCCTTTGGTGCTTTAGAACTCGACCAATGGTCATCGTCCTTTCTCGAGACCAGGCCCACTTTCTCTCGTTTTGGAAGTCCGAATGATGTTCCCTGATCCACGGGTTCCTCTTGCTGTCTCTCAGTGTCATTTTAATAAGTGCATCCTCTCCACGTTTCTATGTGCGCTTTTTTCATCATTTGACCCATTTTCTTGTTTCAGATCCGCAGTGTCGTGCGTTGCGCGTGTGAAGTGAAACCGTGAGATTCGGTGTTGTGTGCAGGGACTGAAAAAGCCGAATCTGGAGGAAGTGCAGCAAGCCCGGAACGCCATCTTCACTCCGTCGCTATTCGGCAGTTCCCTGGAGGAAATCATGGCCTTGCAACGTCAGCGTTTTCCGGAGCAGAGGCTGCCTTGGGTTCAGAGTGGCCTCTCTCTGAAAGTCCTAGAATTGCAGGGCACTCAGACAGAGGGTATCTTCAGGTGAGAAGCAAACATTGTTTTCTTTCATTTTTGTCATTTATCTTGCAATTATGTTGAACTTATTTTGTACCGTACGTAGCCAACCGTGCTCATCGGAGGTGACTGTCTTTCTTTGATCGTTAGCCAAAAGTCACTGCTGCAAGGATGACTCCAGTTTACGTGATGGTTTATGCACCTTGAGATCAGCAAGGTATTGTGGTTCATTTGTGGGAAGCGCTTTGTGTGGAATGAGTGCGACCTTATAAAGTATTAGTTCGACGACTAGAAACCAATGCAGCTCGGCGAGCACCGGACAGACATGGTCGGATCTTGCAGTACCTGGAATGACACGTGCCAAATAGTTTTGTAGACGCTGCAGCCGGCTAATGTTTTTTTAGACGTTCCGTAGATTTGTAAGTTGCAGTAATCTCTTGCCTTGTCGATACTAGGCTACACGCCACCGTGTTGGTTATGTTATGACTCAATAGTGGGCAAATTTGTCAAAGCCCTGGTATGTTTTTAAAAATTAATTGCACGTTCAAGTGAAATGATCGATGGAAGGCACGTTTAAAAGGCACGCACTCCGTAAAGAGGCCCCGTGTGTCCTTGCAGGGTGCCGGGCGACATCGACGAAGTGAACGCGCTAAAGCTGAAGGTCGACCAGTGGACCATCCCGTCGGACCTCACCGATCCACACGTCCCAGGTGGGGCCACCTGCTCGCTCACCCCCCCCCCTTCCCCCCTCACCACCCTCACACGGCAACCCCACCGGGACGACACCGGAGACTTGTGTGACCTGTTTGTTGCCCCGCTCAGCGTTCATAGTTATCTCCTGCTCAAATGGGCATTGTGGAGGCATAGGTGCTGAAATCCAATTTACAGCCCTGGCGCAAGTGGTGGCAATTCCACATTTTTACGTACGAGGCGAGCCTATCCAGAGGACGACCACTTGTTGACTTCCTCACAGAATGATACGTGTTTTATCAACCCCGGAGAGATGATGAGCCGAGTCAGCCCTGAGTCAGGATTTGAACTCGTGACTTTCCGAGTGCACGCCACCCGCAGCCGTGCTCCGGGCCATTTCGACCTGCCGGGTGTTTGATTATTTATTTAGTGTTCCTGTATGGTGCGTACAGTAAGCTCGGAGATGACACAGGGCAATTAGGGGGAGGAGGGGTGGCCTGGTGGGATGCGGCGTCCGTGACGAATCGCTATCGCTCGCCGATGTGTTTGCGTCACGTGGGGCCACCGTCTGGCCACTGAGTGAGGAGCTGCCGATATTGAAGCCGTCAAGGCATCACGGTGTAGGAATGGGAACTATTCCGGGAAGGGCCGGTGGCGCGCACCGTTTGCATCATGGGTGTTGTCGGCACGGCGTCGCAAGGCCACGTTCCGGGGCCATTTCCACTCCTGGTGACGAGCGTTGTCGCGCCGGGAGGAGTCTGTTGCCAACGATCCCATTTTGGAACGTACGAGGGGGTGATGCGCACGTTCTGCTCGGTGACACGCGGTTGCCGTTGGCAGCATCGCTGTTGAAGCTGTGGTACCGCGAGCTGGAGGAGCCGCTCATCCCGCGCCAGTTCTACGAGCGGTGCATCGTGAGCTACGACAACGCCGCGGCCGCCGTCGGCGTGGTGCATGCGCTGCCTGACATCAACCGCCTGGTGCTCTGCTATCTCATCCACTTCCTGCAGGTACCTCACTCCCTTGCCCCCTCTCCACCTCCCTCGCCCCCTCGCCGCCTCACCCCTTCACCTCCTTCCCCCGTCGCTCCCTTCCTCGCCCCCTCCCTCTCGCCCCCTTGCCCCCTTTCCCCCTTACCCGCTCACCTCCCTCGCCCCCTCGCTGCCTTTCTTCCTCGCCCCCTCACTCCCCCTCTCGCTCCATCCTTACCTCCTGCGCTTCCTCCTGTTCTCTCTTCCTCCTTCCCTACCTCTCTCTCTCCCTAATTGACTCCCTCGCCCACTTACTCCCTCGCTCCATTCCTATTTCCCTCACTCCCTCCCTTCTTCGCCGCCTCGCCGCCTCACTCCCTTCCGCCCACGGCCTTTTGCCCACTCACCTCCCTCGCCCCCCTCCCTCGACCCCTCCCTCGCCCCCTCCCTCACCCACTCGCCCGCCCACTTGCCCCCTCGCCACCTCGCCCCCTCGCCACCTCGCCACCTCGCCCCCTCACCGCCTCCCTTCTTCCCACGGCCCCTTGCCCGCTCACCTCCCTCGCCCCCTCCCTCGCCCCCTCCCTCGCCCCCTCCCTCGCCCCCTCCCTCGCCCCCTCCCTCGCCCCCTCCCTCGCTCCCTCGTCCCCTCTGCCCCTCCCTCAGCCCCGCCCTCTTCCCCTCCCTTGCCTCCTTTCTCGCCCCTTCGGCACCTTGCCCCTTCACCTCCTTCCTCCCTCACCCCCTTGCCCCCTTTCCCCCTCACCCACTCACCTCCCTCGCCCCCTGGCTCCCTCACCCCCTGGCTCCCTCACTCCCCCTCTCGCTCCATCCTTACCTCCCACGCTCCCTCCCTCCCTCGATTTCTGGCGCCCTCGCCCCCTCCCTCGCCCACTCGCCCACTCACCCACTCACCCACTCCCTCTCTCGCCCCCTTGCCACCTCACCCCCTCGCCACCTCCCTTCTTCCCACGGCCCCTTGCTCGCTCACCTCCCTCGCCCCCTCCCTCGCCCACTCCCTCCCACGCCCCTCGCTGCCTCTCTCTTTTCCCTCCACAGCCCCTCGCCCCCTCGCCCACTCACTCCCCTGCCCCCTCGCCCCCTCCCTCGCCCACTCCTTCCCTCGACCCCTCCCTTGCCGCCTCGCCCCCTAGTCTCCTCTGCTCCTCCCTCGGCCCCTCCCTCGCCCCCTCGCTGCCTCACCCCTTCACCTCCTTCCTCCCTCACCCCTCCGCTTCCTCACCCCCTCGCTCTCTTTCTCCCTTCCTCCCACAGCCCCTCGCCCCCTCGCACGCTCACTCCCCTGCCCCCTCGCCCCCTCCCTCGCTCCCTCATCCCCTCCTTCTCCCTCTCCCATGCCTCCTCCATCTCCCTTGCCTCCTCCCTCACCCCCTCCCTCGCCCCTTTGGCCCCTCGCCCCTTCACCTCCTTCCTCCCTCACCCCCTCGCTTCCTCACTCCCCCTCTCGCTCCGTCCTTACCTCCCGCGCTCCCTCGATTCCTGGCGCCCTCGCCGCCTTCCTCGCCCCCTTCCTCTCCCCCTCCCTCGCCCCCTCGCCCCCTCGGCCCCTCGGCACTTCACCTCTCTCGCCCCCTCGCCGCCTCGACCCCTCCCCCCCCTCGCTCCTTACCTCGCACCCTCTCTCCCTCGCCCCCACGCCCCCTTGCCCCTTCACCTCCTTCCTCCATCTCCCCCTCGGCCCCTCGGCACTTCGCCTCCCTGATTCCCTTGCCCTCACCCTCTCCCTCGTGCCCTCACCCCCTCGCCCAATCCCTCGGCCCCTCCCTCACGCCCTCGCCACCTTTCTCGCCCCCCCCCTCCCCCGCCCTCACCCCTCCGACCCCTCGGCACTTCACCTCCTTGATTCCCTCGCCCTCTCCCCCTCCCACTCCGCCTCGCCCCCTCGCCGCCTCGCCCCCACCATCCCCCCCCTTGCTCCCTCGCCCCCTCGCTCCCTACCTCCCTCGCCGCCTCGTCTCTTCTGCCCCTCATTCCCTCGCCCCCTCCCTCGCCCCTTCCTCCATCGCCCCTTCCTCCATCGCCCCCTCCTCCATCGCCCCCTCCTCCATCGCCCCCTCCTCCATCGCCCCCTCCATCGCCCCCTCCTCCATTGCCCCCTCCTCCCCTCGCTCCCTACCTTTCTCGCCCCCTCCTCCCCTCGCTCCCTACCTTTCTCGCCCCCTCGCTCCCTCGCCCCTTCACCTCCTTCCTCCCTTGCTTCCTCGCCCTCTCGCCCCCTTGCTAACTCGCCCCCTCGCCCCACACCCCCTCCCTCACCCCTTGTTCCCTCGATCCCTCAAATGCGAGTGCTCCTCCTAAGAGTAAGCCAAATCCCCCGTTGGAGGGGCTCTCCCCATGAGTCGACGGTATTGGTGTTTGTCGCCAGGTGTTTGCTTCCCCGGCCAACGTCGCTCTCACCAAGATGGACGTGAGCAACCTGGCGATGGTGATGGCGCCCAACTGCCTCCGCTGCGAGTCGGAAGAACCCCGTGTCATCTTTGAAAACACCCGCAAGGAGATGTCCTTCCTCCGCACACTCATCCTGCACCTGGACACCAGCTTCATTGAGGGTTTGCAGTAGCGGCAGAGGGCTCTGCGCTGCCCTGGCAGGATCGTTCGCTCGCGTGGTCGCATCTCGCGTGATCGTGACTTGGGTGCTCACGTCTCGCGGCGTGATTGCATCCTGCGTGATCGCGTTTTGCGGTGTGGTCGCGTCCCGCGTGATCGCGTGGTCACGTCCCGCATGATAGCGTCCCACGTGATCGCGCGAATGGATCAACGCGTCGAGAGAAGGAATGGGTCGAATGTTCGGGGGCGGTCGTTCGGGCGAGGAGCGGCCCCGAGTTTGTGTGTGATGGATCGCACGTGACCAAATGGCATTTTAATGGAACGGAGCACTTTATTTTTAAATCAACTTATGTTTATAGTGGCGCACGTTATTTCAGGTCCAACGTCCCAAATACTCTATAAGAGATGTTCTGTGGGACATCCAAACTCTTGCAAAAGCCTTAATCTGTCTTCATCTTGACTGCGCCCTGCCCTCCTCTCAAAGCTCTGCTGGTGAATGTGAGAGGCACCGTCCCGGCGCAGGTGTGCTCGGCAGGTACGAATGTTATCCGCCAGATTCAGTGTTTGGAAGTTAAAGCGTTCGTTTATTTAAATATCAAAATAGTCCTTAAGGTAATGGGTTTTTACCTGCTTTGTGTGTTTCATGAACGTGTCTTACATTTTGATTTAAAGCTTTCGTGACTGCAGTGATTCATATTCTTGGTTCTTTCGGTAAAGTCACGTTGAAGGGAAACAATAAAATAATAATATATTGTTTTATATAATAATATATTGTTTTATATATTATTATTTTATTGTTTCCCTTCAACGTGACTTTACCAAAAGAACCAAGAATATGTGTCTTACATTGCTGTACGTGACAGTTTTAATTCCTCGTCTGATACGCATCACAGCTCAGTTTGACATTCAAGTGTGAAGTAAATGAAATTCCTCATTCTAATTTAGATGACAACAATAATTTACATGAATTATATCGATAGTGGACGTAGCTGGTGGCTCAGCGGTAGAGCAAGCTGCTCGCAATCTCGATCGGGGGTTGTCTCAGCCCATCATCCCTCTGGGGGTTGATAAAATAGGTACCATTTTGTGGAGAAATCAGTATTGGTTGTCATATGGATAAATTCACCCCCGCCAGAGAAATATTGAAATTCCACCACTGGCTCAGGGCATCGCTGTACTTCTCATTGGTTTGACATGCCTCGGTGGTGAGATGTTTACTACCTCGCCTGGTGTACAGGACGTTTTGGGCTCAATCTCGACTCTGACACCTGTATATTTGGAGTTTCAATGTTCTCCTCGTGGTCACGTGGATTTTTCTCCAGATCCTCCAGTTTTTCCCTCCACATTTAGAAGCAACATGCGTTTAGAGTATTTGGCTGCTATAAATTTCCACATGATAGATCACTTCGTTGAGCTATCATTTGTGACCAGGTCGCTTCTGAAAAAGAGCTCTATAGCTCAGTGGGCCTTACCTGGTAAAATAAAAATCGTTTAGTTAATGGACTTCACTTGGCTGGCCCACTCTGAGGTTACCGGACAGCATTGTCTTTGTAAAATCTGAAAGTCAAATAGGTCCAACTCTACCGAGTGAAGGAGATTCAAGTTGACTTTCACGCCACCAGGTGAGCAACTCATGAGAGAAGGGTGAGAGTCTCATTTGCACGTGCACTTGAAGGAGCTGGAAATCTGAAAGGTGAAGGCGCTGCTATTTGTTAAGGGAAACAGGGTATTTTGCGTGAGATGTGCAGGTGTCCACGGTGAAACCGAGTTGCCATTCAACAACCCAATCAAATTAACACCATTACCTGGATGGCAATAATCCAAAATAGTTTTTAAGAGTCTGTGAGCTCCCAAGAAGGTACTAGGGGTGTCGCTGTGCGCCGTGGTGAACTGTCTGTATGTACGTTGATCTTCTTTCGCGCCGCACGTAGCCAACCGTGATAATCGGAGGTGCGTAGCGCACCACAGGCTGCACCGAATCATGCCATCCCCACAGCGGCCACGTCCACGGCGGGGTCTGGCCACGTCTTCTTGCGTAGTGGCTGTATCTGAGTGCTGGGTGTATTTCACTGCTGTTGCACAGCAGGATAGATGGAGCTCGAAAAATGTTACGTATTCTTCCAGTGATGCAATGTGTTCTAATAACGGCGTCATCACGTGCCCTTTAATGTGTTTTAACATCGACCCAATCGTGTACCACAACTGAGAATGTGTTACCTTAATGTTGTTACTGATTGAAGTGTTCCTAAGGAAACGTGTGCAGTAAGCTCCAAGTCGCAAGCTGGATAGGAATGTAATTATATCATGGCTTGTGGCAGAACCTTCAATTACAACGCAGCACGCATCCATTTATTCTCAAACAGTCGAACTGATCAGTCTCTGTGCTATTCCTTTCACCATGCACGTGAATGTGTTGTCAACACAGGGACCTGGTGAATCGTTTTAGCTTCGGGATCGCATCCTGAACGATGCCCAAGGCTTCTCCACGTCCGCCGAAGCTCTCGCCTTGCTTCAGCCATTAGAATGTATGTTGCCGGATCCGTACTTTGCCGCCGCGTTACGTCTTAGGACTTTGGGGCAAAGGAGAATTGAGCGTGAGATCAAAATGGTGCATGTGTGTGTGTGGAGCGGCGGCGACGTGGTCAGTGCAGAGCGCTGCAGTCCCGGCGGATGTGATTTCCGATCGTGCGCACATGCACAGTGAACACGGGTGGTGGGCGGCGACTGAGCCCATCCTCGTGGGCGGCGGTGCGACTGCGTAACGCTGCGGCGCAGTCCACGACGCTTCCTATTCCTCTGGTACCACTACTCCCGCACAGCGGAAACGGCAGCGGGCAGTGGGGGCTGCAGAACGAACGGACGGATCGCTTTCACGCCGCAGGCCTCTTTGCACGTTGTACTTGCGCATGTGTGGCAATGTTTCTACGGGTGTTTGTTGAACTTCTGTTAGCTCCGCATGGTGCCAACCGCGCTCATCGGAGTTGCGGGGAGCACCTCCGATCGCATTCCCGCCGCTCGTCTCGGGTGTCTGCGAGAGCGATTAAAGCGTCGTCACTGGGAGACAGTGGACAAGCCCAGTTTACAGCAACACCGTGAGCCACCTCTAACCATGCCAGCCCCAATAGCACGCTCGGTAACGACGCTTGCTCGACCGACCTTTGTGGGTTTGCGTTAATTCGTTTGTGGCTGACAAAAACCCAGTTTTGTTTTGTGTGGCTGCTGTCCAAGATTCAAAACGGCCCACTTCAGCACAGTCATTACTCTCTCAAACCTGGGCTCTAGCGTTCATTATCCAGTCACCTGCCACGTTATTTTGCCAATACATTCTCCTGAGCGGGGGTTTACATGAAATAGCTCATCTTTCGAATTGTAAACGGAGTTTAATATCCAAGTTTCTGCTTGCATGGGACTGTCTATTTGCATAAAACAGCTTAAGTGTGTCCCCTGCACTCCTGGAAGGGAAAGCCAGGACCTGGTTCCTATGGCAACACAGAGGTGCCATCAACTGTTATTCCTCAAATCAGGCGATTTGCTAGAATTGAGGCAAATCGCCTGGTGAAGCTAGTTGTGATCACCAGTGAAGCGTCGTACTCCAAATTGTAAATGTGCGTTTACTCTCCAACACACCGGTGTGCTGAAGTAGTAACCAATTGGCATGTTATGTATGTATGATGAACTTCTTTAGAACCGTATGTAGCCAACTGTGCTAATCGGAGGTGCAGGGGAAGGACAACTAAACACAAAACCTTTACTAATTGGCTGTGTCGGATGGTGATGTGTTTATGACACATTTATATCTACGTGATCTAACCCCAAAAGCGTTTATTATTTATATTATTGGTCACGAAAGCCCACGCGTTAGACTTGTTAACATGAACCAATCCACGATATCGCATTTAATACACCCACACACCCGTAGGGTAACCACGATGAACAATTCAATAACCCACAAATGTCCGGTAATCTGTGTTGAGTTAATGTGGACAAATGCAGCAAACCTAAAGTGGTGGCGTGACATATCCTCAGTGGTGTCCTGTGGAGACACGGAGAGAGGAACGGCTCATTGCCTGCTTACCCTGGCAGGAAGAATCCTCCATTGACAATAATGAGAATGTCTCTTACTGTTTCACATGTAAACAGTATTTCCCAGAAGTAGTTTGACATTTTTTGTTATAATTATTGTAACTGTACAATATTTTCATGCTTTTGTGATGTTTCTAAATGTTCTGTCTGGAAAGCCATTACCACCACGTGTACTGCACACACCCGGTGTCTCTGTGTGTCCTCATACCTCAGTGGCATGAAGCAGATTTAATGGGATCTCTTTACTTGATTCCTAAAGTATTCCCACTTCATATTCCCGCTGTGTTTCTGTTAAATTGGCTTCATGATGCACCTTGCAGTGCAATTCGTTTGGGTAAAAACAAACAACGGAACATCCATTAACTTTCCTTACAGGTTTCCTATTCAGTTTCTGCTCACACCCTTAAACTTAAGTATAATTAAGGTTTCTAACATGAAAAGGCACTTAAGGTGATTTATGCAAACTCACCAACCGATGTATCCATGATGATGATGATCGAGTTATTTATGTTATTAACCCGCGCCGAGCCTCACTTTCTTAATTCAAAGGTGCAGCTCTTGCATGGGGCCATGTAGCAGTCATGGTCGTCGTGGTCGTCATCGTTGTTATTGTACCACAATTGTATTTCAAATATGTGCACCTGGCCGTTGGGGACTGCGCCAGAGACATGCGGGGCCGTTGTGCTTGTTGACGAGGGGCCATTGTGAGGATGGAACACAAGGGGTGTGTCTAGAGAGAGAGACCATCATGTGTGGTGGCCAGCCTCGGCGGTGAGGGCTGAGATCGGTAGTGCCCGAATACTTCGATGCTGCAATGCCACTGCGGTTCAATGCCGTCTTTTGTGATCAACTGGAGTGCAAGAGACTGGAATGCGAGAGACTTGGAGTGCAAGAGGGATGGAGTGCGAGAGGGATGGAGTGCGAGAGGGATGGAGTGCGAGAGGGATGGAGTGCGAGAGGGATGGAGTGCGAGAGGGATGGAGTGCGAGAGGCTTGGAGTGCGAGAGGCTTGGAGTGCGAGAGGGATGGAGTGCGAGAGGGATGGAGTGCGAGAGGGATGGAGTGCGAGAGGGATGGAGTGCGAGAGGGATGGAGTGCGAGAGGGATGGAGTGCGAGAGGGATGGAGTGCGAGAGGGATGGAGTGCAAGAGGCTTGGAGTGCGAGAGGGATGGAGTGCGAGAGGGATGGAGTGCGAGAGGCTTTGAGTGTGAGGCTTGGAGTGCGAGAGGCTTGGAGTGCGAGAGGGATGGAGTGCGAGTGACTTGGAGTGTGAGAGTCTTGGAGTGCGAGAGACTTGGAGTGCGAGAGAATTGGAGTGCGAGAGACTTGGAGTGCGAGAGACTTGGAGTGCGAGAGGGATGGAGTGCGAGAAACTTGGAGTGCGAGAGACTTGGAGTGCGAGAGACTTGGAGTGCGAGAGACTTGGAGTGTGAGAGGGATGGAGTGTGAGAGACTTGGAGTGTGAGAGACTTGGAGTGCGAGAGACTTGGAGTGCGAGAGGGATGGAGTGTGAGAAACTTGGAGTGCGAGAGACTTGGAGTGCGAGAGACTTGGAGTGCGAGAGACTTGGAGTGTGAGAGGGATGGAGTGTGAGAAACTTGGAGTGCGAGAGACTTGGAGTGCGAGAGACTTGGAGTGCGAGAGACTTGGAGTGTGAGAGGGATGAAGTGCGAGAAACTTGGAGTGCGAGAGACTTGGAGTGCGAGAGACTTGGAGTGCGAGAGACTTGGAGTGTGAGAGGGATGGAGTGCGAGAGGGATGGAGTGCGAGAGGGATGGAGTGCGAGAGAATTGGAGTGCGAGAGGGATGGAGTGCGAAAGACTTGGAGTGCGAGAGGGATGGAGTGCGAGAGACTTGGAGTGCGAGAGACTTGGAGTGCGAGAGACTTGGAGTGCGAGAGACTTGGAGTGCGAGAGACGTGGAGTGCGAGAGGGATGGAGTGTGAGAGACTTGGAGTGTGAGAGACTTGGAGTGCGAGAGGGATGGAGTGCGAGAGGGATGGAGTGCGAGAGGGATGGAGTGCGAGAGGGATGGAGTGCGAGAGGGATGGAGTGCGAGAGGGATGGAGTGCGAGAGACTTGGAGTGCGAGAGACTTGGAGTGCGAGAGACTTGCAGTGCGAGAGGGATGGAGTGCGAGAGGGATGGAGTGCGAGAGGCTTGGGGTGGAGAGAGATGGGGGAGAGAAGCCACACTGGATGTTGTGGGGTTGTCCTGTCGGTTCGATCATAGGTGAAGTCCACAAAGTTCCCTACCTCCTTCCATCCCACACTTGCTGAGGGCTTGGAGAGCCAAAAGAATAACAACAAGAGCCGCAATCGGTGGCCCGTCATAAACAACGTCACAAAGCAGTCGTTGAAAGAGCCGCACGTGGCTCCGAAGCCGCAGGGTCGCCGGCCCCTGGGCTCGGAGCAAGCGACCTTCGCTGGGCGCCGCTCCGCGAAGCTTCCCGTCGGCAGTTGAGCGGAGAAGAACGCGGACTCGAAAAAAAGAAAACGAATCTTGAGTGTTGTACAAAAAAACAACGACCCCCACGTCGTGGCCACGTCGCCAGGGTGTCTTGGACACCCCCCGATGCCCAGCGTATTTATGCTGAAGGAATCCGTTGAGCTATAAAGCTCTTTTTTGTCACAGTTCACCCGGCAGAGCAGTGGCGGCACCCTGCAGGGGGAGACGCGATAGCAGCTGCAGCAGTTGCTGCAGCTGCTGTTGCGGCTGCTGTTGCTACGGG